CCGTAATAGAGAGAGCGCACTTTCTCAGCCATATTTCTTCGGATCTAATAGCGCTGTGTCGCAAACTGGTTGCGGCAAATGTTCACTTTACGAAGAAAACTAAGCGATATGTAAGGTTAATCTAATCTTTGTAGATTCGCTAGGGGGACGGCAAGAAGGAAGTGAAAAGTCAAACACCTGGATTCCACTAACAAGGAATGCATGTTTAGTCGAAGTGGCTTTTCACAATGGGGTGTATACCATAATAAAGGGTATAAAATACTGATCCCAAATCTGCCTTCCTTATCTGCAAAACGTTTATAGACGAGGGGTTATGAGCGCTTATTGGAGAAAAAAATTGAATATACATATAGGACAAAAATAGGCATAATACTTTTTCTAGCTTTTCAATGGAGCAGTGATAATCATCAGAGCACTTTATTCAAAAATTCTCTAAAATGAAAAATATACCACCTTGGCTGTATTATTTGAGGGCTAATAAGATGCTAGCAACTCATTTTGCAAAATGCACGTTCATGGGCTCAAAAAAAAAACGCTCTTAACTCCTCGTCCATAAACGTTCTGTAGATAAAAATTTTAAATCAGCGTTTTATCCCCTTAAATATGGTATACATCCCATTTAGAAAGGTCACTTCGACTAAACAAGTTTCCCTTGTAAGATACTGTAAATGTGAATCAAAATTATGAAATAAAAACAACAAAAAAGCGAAATTTCAACAAACTTTATAAAGCCACATAAATATCAAATGAAAGCAGAGGTGACTAGCACTGTCTACTAGTACAACTACAACGCAATTTACTGTTTAATTTATCTATTTATCAATAAAAGTAACAACTATAGATGCATATCCTGCAGTAGAGCTCATTTTTTGAGAAAAAACATGGGTTTTGGAACATCATTGAAGGACTAGAAAGACAATAATAAAAGCAAAACTTGGCAATATCTACTCAATATCTATTCATTCATTTATTCATATTTATCTAATCATTTATCTATTAATTGCCTGATTGTGTTCCAGTCCATCCTTTGAAGAAAACTCTGATTTTAGGCTGGGTAATCTCAATAAGAAGTTGGATTGTAGTCTAAAGTTTTTCAGAATATCGCTAAATTACAATAATCTCATTTTTTGATTAAAAAACTGCAAGCTCTCACCAGCTAGTGTTCTCCATCTTGGAACAGCAATTCTGAAGTTCTGTCGAAGTAAGCAAGTCTAGTACAACTTATGTAGATAAAATAAAATCACTTTATCTCTTTGTTGCTAGACCCTGCGAAAAATTGTCTTGGGAATTGCTAAGCATTTCTCGCAACCAGTGAAAAAAATTACCTCAAATCCTCGATGCTTATTTTTGCGAAAAACTTGTCTATTTTGTGAGAGTTACAATAGGCACCCTGAACGATATGAGTCGTGGGAACCTTGTCCTTGAACAGGAGCGCAGTTTCCCACAGCTTTCTTTCCATAGACGCTTCCAACAGCTTTGAAATTGAATGATAGGTTGTGAACCAGCCACCCATACGCGAGCGCTTGAGGCGAGATGGTGATGCTTCTGGGGACCATTCTTTCTCGACTGTCGGTTTTCTCTTGAAGTCTCGGAAAGTGGACCAATTTCAACTGAATTTTCAATTTTTTCAGGTCGCTATACAGTCTTTTTTCTTCTAAAAGGCCAAGATTTTTTTCAAAGTGATAGACACCCTCCAAGTCGCCGAGCACAATTTCAAAATTAGAAACAGTCTTGTAAGTATGCTACAGCTTTATCTACTACCCTGCATACTCTTGCATCTTTGCAGAATAGCACTGCGTTTTTTTTCTTGGCATTCTCCAGTGCGTCAATTTTTCTGGATAATGTCCTGCATTACTTATGCGCCACATTTTCTCGATATTACCAATAACCACGTTCTAGTGCAAGAAGAAAGTTTTAGTTTTGATTGGTGGTTTCCTTTGGAAAGATGGCTGAACGAAAATTGTAGGAAAGTGCCAGCCAGAATTATTATTCTATTTTTGCATTTAACAGACTTGGCTAATGCCCTGATTGTGAAAAATATGGTATCGATGCTGCTGAATTTAACGTAGAGAAACCATATCGCTTCCTAGAATACTAAGAAAAATGTCCAGAACCCAACATACTTGTCTTGGGCAATTATGCACATAAAAATGTGAAAAATGTAAATGCGAATCCTATCAAAATTCAATTATTCCAATAATCAAGAGTAGGGAGTAGGTAATTTTGCTCTCTTCTTGGTTTTCTCAAGCGCATTTAGCAAGTCTATTTTTTTAAAAATTGGATCTCTGTTCTTGTATATGTTGACCTTTTCTTGCTTTGTTATCCGGTTACGTAACTGCGTACTTCAGTGGCAAATTTTCAGACCATTTTCAGTGTTCAGCAAATCATTTCTAGAAAATTTCACCACATCGTCATGCTCTGCAGGGGAGCTTCCAGAAAATTGTCATGTGGTTTTGCGTGTCTGCAGCATTTCGCATAAAACCAATTATACGTATAAAATAGCAACCGGATTCATGAGTAACCTAAGTAACCAGCGCTTGCAGAACTACTGCTCTTTACAGGGGTTTCACAAGTTAGACTGAGTAGGTGGAAGTGCATGAGTTTTAGAAAAAATTTTGGGCGTCAGCTTTGAACTGTTCAATTTCAGGAGCTGGTCACATAAAGTTTCAAATTGCCAAGGAAATTCAATCAGTGTGTTTGTACAATGAAGCAAAGTAGCTGAAATCTTTTTGTCAATGTGTGCTACTTCTTCAGCGTATTTTTATGCTGAGACGTGACGTTTCTATGATTTCAAAAAATACAAAAAACTCTGAAGCTCTTCTTGAAACTTTTCGGACATTTATATTTCCTAATTATTAGGCTCATGCCACGTTCATAGCTCACTAAGAAAAAATTCAACGTATGACAGTGGCTATAGGCTATAGTGAAGAAGATTGTGGACTCAGATTCAAAGACATTTTTATCTCAATTCAAAGATAATGTTGAAAAAGATAGCACTTTGTAGGATGGGAAAATGCAAATTAGCTGTCAGTTTATGGCAATTTATCTTCTGCACAGAAAGAATGTCAAAATAAGTCTCATTCCTTTTTATCGAGCACATGAGCAGCATTTGTGGAATTTCTGAATTATCCAAGCGATGGGGCTGCGTCGTGAGAATTACACCTGCCTAGGCAACCATCATCATTATCGTTTACGACCTCATTCTCTCGATTACGGCTTACACCACCACAACTTACTGGATTCTCTAGCTAGCTGCTATAGCGAAGGGTTATTCGCAGTAAAAGGGGGAAAAGGAAGATTTGGGCCAAGTAAGTAGCGAAGGAACGAGGAGGAGGAGTCCCAAAAATAGTCACGAATTCTCAGAAAATAGACACAATAATTAAGAAGTTTTGCAAGTATCTTGTTTATGATTGCACCTAAAGTAATTTTTTTATTAAGTTGTGACCGCCCCTTCAATGAGAGTAGTATTAAACTAGGTTTTAAACTCAAAAAATCTCTAAAAAATTTCTGGGGGTTTTTGATGTTTGCTGGCTAACCCTACGCCCCTCTATAAATTTTTTTTGTCCCCCTCTACCAGAAAAAAACTATTTCGCTAATGAAACTGAGGCATCGAGCTATGTCGGGCCATTTCGAGAGCATTTCATCTTTTTCGTTTCGATTCTAATGAGACCCATCCATCAGCGGAACGTTGTCATGAGTTCGATATGGCCGAAGCCTTGAAAAACATCCAGTAATCCGTCGCTTGTCATTTCGCATCATTCAAATCGGCTTTATCTCATTCTACTGCCAACGTTTCTCCTCGGGACGCTGGTGGTTTTGAGGATCGTGGACAAGAAATTATGCAAAGAGGGATTGCATCAGGTTGGAATGTAAATTCAAAAAAAAACAAAAAATTTGAAATCGTGATTAATTAATATAATTCATAGCAAAAAGAAAAACTTCCTCAAGAAGATTCCTCCAACAGCTAAGAAATGCTTCAGTGCACTTTTAGTGCTAAATGATTATAGCTTTTATATAGCTTATTCACAAAACATACATAGATCTAAAGAAAGGTTGATTCATAACGCTTAAGGAACTTGAATTTCAAGTTTTGAAATGCAATAGAAAGGGCACTGTGGCAATTTTCGTAGCTTAAGACGATCCTTAATTAATTCATGCAAATCAATGGCTAATTTTAGAAAACAAAGGGCAAAAGCTGTAATTTTTCTTGATTAATGATGTTGATAAATAAGTAGAACTGGCAAAATAGAGCGAATATGTATTCACTTTCGATATTAAGTAGTTTTGCTCCCTACTTCAAGCTTAATGACCTAAGGTCACCCTTCGAACTATCTTGATCTACCAATATCCGAACAATTATATTAAGTGAGCTTCGGCGATAATTTCATCAATTCCTAGAACAATCCACCTTTAGACAGACTCTAATGCAAAATATTATGTCAATTTTAAAATTAATTACGAAATAAAAAAGTGTACTATCTACTTCATTCATGCTGGACATCAATAAAAGCACAATTTATTTTGCTAATCTAATGTCCTTATCCTAAGACACTCGTTGATCTAACGTTTATACAATGACAAAATTGAAATTGAAAATTAATGAAATCGGTAAAATTTCAGATCAAACTTTGTTGTTACTCTACATAACAAAACGAGGATAAGATCTAAGGAAAAAAACAATAACAGAAAAACCATGAAACTACACGAGAATTGTTTTCTAACTATACCTGTACATAATCCGGTGGTAGTAAAGATGGGTTCATTTAGGTTTCTTTATGGTAGTTTTTTTAGAACTCATTTTATAACAGCTCTTCTACAAAACACCCCTGCAACCACTTTAATCTTCTATTCTCGCACATCCTCCCGTCCATATGTATAATACCTCAAAACCTAGATTGCTCCCTTCCATCCCCCTTTTCTCTCCAATTTCTACAGATCTTTCACCCCACACTTTTTTATATGCATCTGTCTGTGCTCATATTCAAATATGATGATTTCAGCTTCTCGCGACTGTGGTTGTGCACGTGTGGTGCCATTTCCTTGGTCTCTATCTTCACTTATCCGTCGATCGTCTAACTCGTTCCGCATTTCTGAGTGGTCGAAATGCCGTCGAAGCCGAACATGCCGCTGAACGTCAGAGTAATCGGCTTGTGAGTTTCATGAAAAATCAAATTTATTTATAAGAAAGGTGGAATTACGGGTTCAGTGAGACAAAATCGTTTTTGTCTTTCAATAATAAGTAAAAAGCTCAATATAATCTCACCCATTTTCGATAGGAGCTTTGTTATTCGGGGACTTCGAAGCTAGCTAGGCTCCCCCCTCCCCAATTTTACTTAAGAATTTGCACTCTTGAAAATCCGAAAAATCCGAATCTTTTTCTAGATTCAGACTTGCAAAATCAAAGATTATTTTAATATAAAGAGCAAAACTGAAGTACAAAAAGCTATTTGGAAATGATAATCAAATGCTCCAGCACGTCATCTCATTGTCATTTACAGTGTATCTCTCCTCTAATCGAATTTCGTTGCTTTCAATTTCATTTTTTCTTCACCTCTTACGTTTATCCAATACTCCAGCATTGACTAAAAATAAGAATTGAAACAAAGTTCGATGGAGGGGCGTTGTCGGCTTGTGACCTCGCTGTCTGAAAATATGATTGATGTAGCCACTATATGTTCGTATCCGACTAATATCTCAATTTTCGATCTTCCGAGAGAGATACGAGAACGTCAAATATGAATGTTCGTTTAGGGATTAACACCAGTGAGGGAACAGCCGAATCTACAAGCATAGTTCAAAAATAAATCTTGACCGGGATTTTCGAAACTTTGTCATTTCTCCACTTACAATTTGATGACGAGATGAGAAATTGTACTTTTTTGCCAGCTAAGGCGGAAATTAAAAACTAACAAAGAAAATATAGAATTTTCTGAGCTATAGCGATTGCAATACTAAAAAGGTTTATTGTAATCCAATCTTAGTGTTGATTTTAGTTTTATAACCGTACTAATTAAGGCAAAAAGAGCAGAAGTTTCAAACTTTGCTTCATTTTTGAGCATTCTAAATTTTTATTTATGATCAGTAGCCTCGATAAAGTACAACATTCATTACCATTGATAAAAAACATTATACAGGGTGTCTTAAAAAGATGTGCACACTGTTTGATCGTTAATAACTCTCTTGCTTTCATGTCTTTTGCCGAGCTTGAGGTAACATTGTGTAGAGCGAGGATACAGCACTGACAGTGCCGCTTTTCAAAACTGCGTTTTAAACGCAATAAAACGCCGGAAGTGCCGCATTGCTATATCTTCCTTCAGGTTACTCCTCTCGAGCTTTGGTTAAAATATTTGGAACCAGCGCTGTCCGGTGCACCCGATAGTATGTTTGAAAATTGAAAAATTCACAATTTTTTTGTGCCCTCCGGCGCAATAAACGCGATATTGCGTCGTAAGTGCCGCATTCGAATAACTTTCCACAAAGCTACTCTTTTTGATTCTCCTTGCTATAGTTGGACTCAGCACTGATTGGTCTATCCGACACTATATTCAAAATCTGGAAAAATCAATTTTTTCATGTGCCGCAGGGCACAATAAACGCGTTTTTGCGTCGGAAGTGCCGCATTGTTATAACTGCTTTCATATTTATCGCACAAAAATCTTGTTTACACAGTTGTCATCAGTGTCCCTTAAGCTATCCGCCAATGTGTTTAAAACTTCGAAAATCTCAACTTTTAGTGAATTACACGTTCTAAATCTTTTTGGTCCCTTTTTTTGCACTGATAAGCTGATAACGATCTTCAAAGTAGTCGCACAAAATTCTGAACAACATATCTGAAATCAGCTCTTCACAAGCTATCCAATGATGTGTTTAAAAACCTAAAAATCTCAAATTTTTTGTTTCCGATTTTATTGGTCCCTCATAGTGGTATTATTAGCTAGGCTGGCCCCGACCCCTGGCTGCCGTGACCTATCAATATCGATTTTTGTTAATAGAATCATTTTAGTATTGTAATATGGAGGCAGTATATACACGTCGACTTCAACAACTAGAAGTACGGTGCATACCGGAATTTGGAATTTTGGATCATGAACTTCAATTTGTAAAATTCGTTGAAATTGAAAAATTACTCTTATTGATTCAAAAATTCCAAATCACTGTGAGATATAATGTTCCTTTTCTGCTTTGAGATAGAAATTGCCGGCTTCTTGCTTTTCCAAGATGAAATTATAAATCGACATTCCTCCTACCTATAGTGGAATCCAGTAGCAGTAATTTCCAAAATTTCAAGAAATTTCGAACGAGTTAGTGATTTTAAAATTCAGAATCATTTGCAATGTACTTTTAATACATAGGTAAGAGAGTACTATTTTCTGTTTGATCAAAGTGGAGTGAAAAGAAACCCATGAAAGTATTCTGTTTTTTTCTCGAGTTGGATGCACCTGCTTTCAGCTGACACAGCCATGTCCAAAGGTGCGAAGTCATCCAGCAAAGGCCACCCACGTATCATGAACTTAGAAAAAACTGTGATTTCAGTTGCAAAAGTTGATGAATTGAGCTAAGCTTGTCAAAAATCAGACATTTTCCCTAACAATAGCTAGAAAAAACGATCAAATTCGACAAGAGTTGGAGCTAGGCTTCTCGAGAACCTAAAATCATTATTTCTGCTATTGAAGTCCCATATTAGCTAAATAGCATGATCTAAATCATAAATTGGAGTTTGGGTTCCCAAAAATCAGAAATTATGATTTTTGCTACTGGATTCCACTATAGGTAGGAGGAATGTCGGTTTATAATTTCATCTTGGAAAAGCAAGAAGCCGGCAATTTCTATCTCAAAGCAGAAAAGGAACATTATATCTCACAGTGATTTGGAATTTTTGAATCAATAAGAGTAATTTTTCAATTTCAACGAATTTTACAAATTGAAGTTCATGATCCAAAATTCCAAATTCCGGTATGCACCGTACTTCTAGTTGTTGAAGTCGACGTGTAAATACTGCCTCCATATTACAATACTAAAATGATTCTATTAACAAAAATCGATATTGATAGGTCACGGCAGCCAGGGGTCGGGGCCAGCCTAGCTAATAATACCACTATGAGGGACCAATAAAATCGGAAACAAAAAATTTGAGATTTTTAGGTTTTTAAACACATCATTGGATAGCTTGCGAAGAGCTGATTTCAGATATGTTGTTCAGAATTTTGTGCGACTACTTTGAAGATCGTTATCAGCTTATCAGTGCAAAAAAAGGGACCAAAAAGATTTAGAACGTGTAATTCACTAAAAGTTGAGATTTTCGATTTTAAACACATTGGCGGATAGCTTAAGGGACACTGATGACAACTGTGTAAACAAGATTTTTGTGCGATAAATATGAAAGCAGTTATAACAATGCGGCACTTCCGACGCAAAAACGCGTTTATTGTGCCCTGCGGCACATGAAAAAATTGATTTTTCCAGATTTTGAATATAGTGTCGGATAGACCAATCAGTGCTGAGTCCAACTATAGCAAGGAGAATCAAAAAGAGTAGCTTTGTGGAAAGTTGTTCGAATGCGGCACTTACGACGCAATATCGCGTTTATTGCGCCGGAGGGCACAAAAAAATTGTGAATTTTTCAATTTTCAAACATACTATCGGGTGCACCGGACAGCGCTGGTTCCAAATATTTTAACCAAAGCTCGAGAGGAGTAACCTGAAGGAAGATATAGCAATGCGGCACTTCCGGCGTTTTATTGCGTTTAAAACGCAGTTTTGAAAAGCGGCACTGTCAGTGCTGTATAGATCTACAGTATAGAGCAAATCGCCAGTTACTCTTTACCAATTACTGTAAGATTACGGTATGAACTTCCAGCATACAGCGTCACTGTGGAATAAGCCTTTTGATGAAATAATACCTCAAGCTCTGCAAAAAACATGAAAGCAAGAAATTTATTAACAATCAAACAGTGTGCACATCTTTTTGGGACACCCTGTATAATTAGATCAACTGGACATTTTTTAAAAAGAAGCTTCCTGAAATACTGGCGTAAAATATTTTCTACTTTCCATCTTTGCAATTAAAATTTTTGTTATTAGAAAAATAATCTTTTGCATTCGAAAGGAGAGTGTTGAGTAGCCAAGATTCCAAAAGGGGTTTAGAAATCTATTATAACTCGAAATTCACTCGCAATCTGCATTTCTAGCATTCTATACAATGAGAAGCGGTTAAGTGAAAAAAAATTTGTGTTTTTCTGGCAAATTATGCTGTCATAAAATGACAAGACTTTTTCCCTCTTTCTCTTTGTACTTTCTGAGATATTAGTAGTATAAAGTTTCTTCTATAGGAAAAAGAATTTTATGATGTTAGTGGCAAGAGTCATAATTCACACAAATAACATAGCTCGGTTTGATGTGTTGAATTTACGACACCACTACTATGAAGATTTTCTTCTCTTTTTTGCCTCACTATACGAACAAATAGCATGGTACTAAACTTTTTGAGAGTATAAATGAGCCTCTGTACTCTACACAGTGAAAATTCGTCTCTCCATCTATTTTTCTGAAGCTAGAGCAACTCTATCCATACGGAAATGCTGGATGAAGACGATACTTCCCTCTTCGAAAGATTTCAATGACAGCGGCTTCTTCTAGAGCTCTTCTAATTAGCTATTTGAATTTCAAGCTTATCTCTTTCTTGCGGAGTTTTTTGAGATTTTTGCGTCAATAAGTACATAAATTATCAGACGATACCTCAAGTTAATCGAAGGAAATAGAGAACCAACGTCCTATTTTGAAGTACAAGTCCGCTTAGCTATTAGAGGGTGATTTAACGATGTATTGAACTTGCATTTTTGTAGCAAATCACAAATACTTTTTTGCTGAAAAAAAAAACGTCGCAAAAACTCTTCCCTCAAAGAAGTACATCTAAATAACAAGAAAGTCACTTAGCAGAATTTCGCCCTTCACTCTGCTTTGTCATAATATTTACCTGTGATCCACTCATTGTTGTCAATCAGAAACGGATTACAAATTATATTGAGAGTTTGCTACCTGCGAAAACAAGATTACGTGATCGTGGAAGTAACAAATAAAAAAATTGCATGTAGTTTTTCCTCGGGACCGTGGTCATAACCTATTATGGACTGAGATACAGAATTGAAACCTTCCAGAATAAATAAGGGCGCAAACTCTATGCCGTCCATAGTTGCGATAGGGGGAGTGATGGATCTTACCCCCTTCACTTTGAGGCCAAACTTCCGATGACCCCCTTCACCTGGGCTGAGATTGGTATCGTATTCTGAGAATATGATAAAAATCGTTATGAAAAGCAGGCTAAGTACCTCAAACAACAAGTACACTCATAAATTCACTAAAGAAACGGTATTTATGTTTATTTATATTATTTATTTATCCTCGTAGCATTTTGGAGAGAAGAAAGTAAGTACACAAAATCAGTTAATTTTTGAAGCACATAAAATCCCTCATATCTCGCGGCACAGAAGACCTAGAAAAAAGTCGACGGTCTACGTCGATTCTCCATGATCTCAGCTTTCGAATGGTATACAGCATGATAGGACTTCTTTGCTTCCCGGCTCTAAAAATCATTTTCTCCGGTAACCGATAAAAGCCAATACATTGGTGGAGCCGGATTGGAGCAAGCTAATAGTAAATATCTCCACCCCATTTTTGAAAACTGGTCCGTTTTTTCGCCCAGCAACCTATATACCATTCGAAAGCTCAGGAAAAGGGGATTCGACCTAGACCGTCGACTTCTCTCTAGCCCCCCTCTACCGAGAGATACACCGCATTTTATCTGAAAACATGGTCATTTTCAACAGCAGTTTTCTGCCAAATGAAGACCTAATCACTGCTGCTTATCTATCTGTGTTAAAGAGCAAGTCTTCATTAACAAACGTAGACCGTCGACTTTCTCGTAGCATTCATTTGGAGAGCAGAAAGTGAGGACACAAAATCAGTTAATTTTTGAAGCACATAAAATCCCTCATATCTCGCGGCACAGAAGACCTAGAAAAAAGTCGACGGTCTACGTCGATTCTCCATGATCTCAGCTTTCGAATGGTATACAGCATGATAGGGCTTCTTTGCTTCCCGGCTCTAAAAATCATTTTCTCCGGTAACCGATAAAAGCCAATACATTGGTGGAGCCGGATTGGAGCAAGCTAATAGTAAATATCTCCACCCCATTTTTGAAAACTGGTCCGTTTTTTCGCCCAGCAACCTATATACCATTCGAAAGCTCAGGAAAAGGGGATTCGACCTAGACCTAGACCGTCGACTTCTCTCTAGCCCCCCTCTACCGAGAGATACACCGCATTTTATCTGAAAACATGGTCATTTTCAACAGCAGTTTTCTGCCAAATGAAGACCTAATCACTGCTGCTTATCTATCTGTGTTAAAGAGCAAGTCTTCATAAACAAACGTAGACCCTCAACTTTCTCGTAGAATTCATTTGGAGAGCAGAAAGTGAAGACACAAAATCAGTTGATATATGAAGTACATAAAATCCCTCATATCTCGCGGCACAAAAGACCTAGAAAAAAGTCGACGGTCTACGTCGATTCTCCATGATCTCAGCTTTCGAATGGTATACAGCATGATAGGGCTTCTTTGCTTCCCGGCTCTAAAAATCATTTTCTCCGGTGACCCATAAAAGCCAACATATTGTATAGGTCGTCCCGAAAGTTTTTGAGCACAACTTTCAAAAATTCATAACTTCTGATTTTTTCAATCGATTTGACTGCTTTCACTTTTATGTGAAAGGGTAAGTCATGCTCTTTATAAAGACATCCCAGCTGCTTAGTAATGGTCATCTGTTGCATAGATAGAAGCTCAAAACAAAATCACTCAAAATTTGAATTTTTGTGTAGGGTCATAAAAAATCAGAAACTTGCAACAAAATCGGAGCAGTCGGTATTTTAGGTTCTTTCACAACTCTTTCTAACAGTGCAAAGTTTGCTCCGATTGAGCGTCTCCATGAAAAGTTATAATTTCCGAGCAAGCAGTACAAAAAGGCGAATTTGATTTATTTTGGCATTCTTCAGGGAAATCATAACTTTTCATGGAGACGCTCAATCGGCGCAAACTTTGCACTGTTAGAAAGAGCTGGTGAAAGAACCTACAGTACTGACTGCTCCGATTTTTGTTGCAAGTCTCCGATTTTTTATGACCCTACACAGAAAATTAAAATTTTTACCATTTTTCTTCTATCGCTCCTATCTATGCAACAGATGACCATTACTAAGCAGCTGAGATGTCGTTATAAAGAGCATGGCTTACCCTTTCACATAAAAGTGAAAGCAGTCAAATCGGTTGGAAAAATCAGAAGTTATGAATTTTGAAATTCGTGTGCAAAAACTTTCTGGACGACCTAATAAGAGCGAGGTGGAGCAAGTTAATAGTAAAAAATGTGCTGTGGATTGACATCGTTATCAGCACTAACAGGAACGTGAGCGAACACGTCTATTTGAGCGTGCTTATCGTTGTTATATGTTTATGTTTTCTTGGTAAAAAATGCGCTTTTGATTGACAGTTATGCCATCATTGTTAGCACAGACTCAAAAAACTATGGGAGATTGGTGAATTTCCACACCTTCACACAAAACCCGCCCATTTCTGGAATCTATACTCTGCAAACCTAGTGCTGAAGAAGGTCACTTTCGTGGAAACGCTCTAGACTCACCTTACCTAATTTGTAGAGAATGGTTGGTTTCAATGAATTAAAAATTCTAAAACATTCAGAAGAATAACATGTTATCAAAATATTCCTCAATGTTTTGGAAAGGTTGGCAGTTTGAAGAGGAAACGGCAGGCAGAATACTTTACAAAATCGCAGATGACTCGCATGTGTTCCAGTTCAACAGCGAGGCAGAAGGAGAATCTTACGCCGACGAAAATGTTGTCGACATTGATACAGAGTTGGCAATTGAGCGAAACTCTCTGATTTCCTGCATAAGGAATCCAAGCAGATTGTCTAGTTTTAATGAGGAAATGTCCAGGAAGTCCATTGCTGATCTTCAGGTTGCTGAAGAATTCAAGGCTGCTAAATTCACAAACATGGATATGAACAAAAGGAAGGTGTTAATACAAAGCATATTTACTGCGCTTAGATCCCGGCTGGAGTGCGAACCCAACTCTGTGCTTTATGCTTTGAAAGTTATTCGCCTTGTGACAATATGACCTATGATATTGAAAAAAAACCAACGCACAGCATAGTACCTCCTTTTTTCGGCTATTCCGCAGATGCTGTTAAAGAAGAAGTTGAGCAGCTTTCTCGTCAGTTAACAGAACGTATGCCAGAGGAGGTGAAGCCAGAGTTCGACAAGGCCCAAAAAGTACACTATTTCTTTCCCGTGTTGCGAATGCATATGAGATTTGGCTCTTTTCCCATTACTTACCTCAAAAATCTGATGGACCTACTAGCAAAGCTAGTTTCCATGACTAGCACGGCAGAGGTGGAGAAAGAAATTTTCTATCTACTCTGTTATCAGAACACAACGCAGAAGTCGTACAACGATAGAGCATCTAAGCAAATACTTAAGATTTGTCAACCTTCTACTAAACACATTGTTATCTAAAAACTTCATTTAAAGGATTGGTATAAGTGGTCCAGACAGGCTGTTACCGTATGACTTTTTGAAATATCCTAAAAGAAGGTATGAAGAAACGTCACCTACCTGCTGACTTTTCTGATGCTACCAGAGGGCCAGGAAAAAAATCACAAAAACGCTCAAAAGAAGAAGAAAGTTTCAAATCCATTTTCGACTCAGAACGCCTTTGCACGCAATTCTACTTCTACTCTGATGACCTTTTGGAGGAAGAAGAAGATTTTTCAGGCAGCGAACTTGTTGTCTCTGACGTTAGCGATAGTGATATTGTTGATGATGATGTGCAGGAAATGAAGTTGTTCCTAACTTGTACATCTTTTGGGATAAACATTATTGCTTTCGTTTTCTGTTGATGCAGTGAAACAGGAGCACAGATCTTTATAATCAATTTTTTTTAATTTTTCAATTTTTTTTGAAAATTTTTAAATTTTTTTCAATTTGTGCCTAAATAATGTACAAATTAGAGCTCTTCATACCACGCTTTTTTACCTTTTCTCTCTTCCTCCCCCCCCCCCCCCTAGACTCACATACCCCCTTCACCCTGGAAGGTCGGGAACAGCCGAGACCCCCTTCACCTGGGGAGAGCCCGGCTCCCCCTATCGCACCTATGATGCCGTCTGAAGCTTGCAATTTCCATGAATTAATCTTGATTGCTGTAAAGTTTCTGACCTTCCTTTTTGCTTGATTTGCCATTCTGAACAAAGTTGCGAGGCAAATGATGCTACTTATAGCTCGCAAAAATCAAATTTTTGTTTCACTCTATGAGGGAGGAATGCTTAGCCAATTAAGGGACAAGTGAGCGAAAGATTTTTTATGGCATGATAGCAAAAATCTCAAAAAGTGCTTATATCCTTCTTGGTTCTTACTTTTGCACATTAAATCGAAGCAACTCCCGAAGTAATGAGAAAATCGTTAAAAAATCGTTTAAAAAGAAATTCATATTCATCCATGCCGGCAGTCATCCACAGCCCTACCAAAGCTGCTGTTCACAGAGTTGTGGTGTACCAAGTGAAATCAAAAAAAAATTAGTGATTTAATTACTGCGCACAGTTTATCTTTCCGTCGCAATTATCTTCAAGCTTAGCTCACAATAAGTATCCTCAACTATCGACTCATACAGCTAAAATGTATTTTTTGATCGTGACATGTTTTCGTCAGAATTGCTATTTTCTCACGAAAATGGTCATATTTGGTTCCAGCTTTTTAGGGATTTTTTGTGAATAACTTCCACATACGCTTCCCTTAAGAGAATGATTTGTTACAGAGTCGACTTTTGGCTGCTTTCCTGCCTCAGCATCTGATTGCTGCAGCTCGTCTACAAATTGCTACGAATAATCCACATATCTTCGCTGAACATTATCAACAAGTAGGCAATTGATCTACCTTTTATTTCCTGCTCTTTACTACTTTACCCTTTGGATGGAAATATTTAGGTCACAGTCGCTTATGGACGTTTGATAGGTTTCGAGGCAGTTCTGTCTCAATGCTCATCACTTGATGCCGCAAGGGTTCTCAAGGTACGTGTTTTTAGAGTGAGTTGTTTGGAAATTCATTTCTGAAAATGTTTAGGAGATCGAGCTGCGCATAGATCGATTGTGTGATTTGAACGGTTGCACCAAGGTAGCATCGGAAGGAATAACAGTGGGTCCACCAAATCACAAGACTTTCTTACGAAAATTGATTTATCAAGGTGATCTCGTCTATCCCAGTGCAAGATCCTTGTCATGCTCTTAATGTCGTTCGGTTCGCGCTTCAACTAGAAGCTCTTGTTGGGTAAGTAAGCATCACTTCTGCTTTACCGTAACCTTCCATGATGTCTTTTCAGTTCATTTCGTGACGCTACCACTGCCGACGTCGCCGTATGTGTTGGAATCGACACCGGCTCAGTGTCAGCTGGAGTAGTCGGCGCTTCTAAATGGCATTATGACCTTATTGGAGTTACCGTAGATAATGCGATTCTACTACAAAGTAACGCACCTGGCCAGTAAGTTGACTTTTTTGTCTTTTCAAAGAACTTCTAAAATGCGATGTTCATATGTAAGAGGAGTTTTAGTGTACTATTGTGTATCATAACCATGTATTCTAGGGGATTTCGATTTATAAAGAGGTGCTTATGTTAGTACAGTAAAACATTTTTCTTCATTCTTAAGTCTGGATCTAATAAGTTCAACCACATGTCCTTGTACTTGCACGGATTATTTAGTAAGCAAAGTCTTACCTATACAAAGCTTTCATTTCTCGACTTCCTTATACCAATTTGTCTGGACGAATTTTCACATGATTTGTAATAAGTCCCGAATTTCAGTGGCGTTTTCGTCACCGAAGAAACCAGACATTTGATAGAAGGTCATTTTGCACTTGAACATATGGGCGAGGTCTGGCATGTTTCTGGAGGATCACCAGGACCAGAACTCTTCCCGGTGAATAAAAGGTGAGTCATAGTTTGGAAGGATGGCCGGTACAAGCACTTTTGATTTTCTTTCTTAGAAAAACGATGTTGGGTGTTTGTAATATGTATCAAAACGTTGTGCTGAAAGGTAACCCAGTTGTACGTAAATAATTGTGGCTACCTACACCTTGTCTCAAAGAAAGTGTCCTATTTGCAAATCGCTTGGGACTCTAAATTTAAAATTGAACTTGAAACAGAGAATTTTCTACATGTTGAGAAAAGCTGAAGGTTTCAGATTCTCAATGGTTACTGTACCTCAAGGCATCAATCGTCTTCTACAAACATTGTCCACGTTTGTTGATCCACAACTCAAAACCATAGGAACTACGAAAAAGAGGTTGGTTATTTCTGCTCACAATGATCATGACAATTCAACACCTTTCTTTGCTCTAGTCTGATGTATTCTGGATATTGAACATTCGCTTGTATTTTATGCAAAAATCTCAAAATCTATTCGTCATTGGAAATGTGCTATCTATAACATTTTCAATTTGCCCTCCTTAGCCGAGAACAAAACGATAATCTTAGAGCAGGACACTAAAGTCTTGTCGATCATAGTGCCACGCTTGAGTTCTAACGTTTTGTTTCTCTATTTTTTAAGACAAAAGTCTTGATCTCACCCCTTCCTCGCCTAAATATCTCCAAAGAACATAAATTTCAGAAAAGCAAAACAACAAGATGAAGACGACCAAAAGAAGGATCCCTCAAGTGACAAAGGCAGTTTTATGAACTCCTTGTCTCTACAATTCAAGAATGCTCGTCTCGAGACAGAGGTGAGTTTGAATGTAGCTCATTTATAGACACCCTATCAAAAGAGATGTTTTAGTTCCATAAAGAAATGGATCACTGGTTCATTCCTGCTTTGGCAATCAGCATCTTCTTCCTTGTAGTATACGGTATATATCACATGTTGGTCATGCCTAGGTGAGTTCACTAAAGAATTTCTCGTCCCAGATTGAATTTTGAAAATTTTAGGCTAATCACAAGTCTGGCCCTGATTGTCGTAGCCCTCACGCTGATGTTTTTCATACTATTGATGCTTTATATTAACTACTTCCATGTGAGTTGCGTTATCCTTGGATTTATTCCCACATTAAAGAATTTCAGAGCTTTTCGCAATTTATCACTCGCACATCTCATGGTCATTCGCTTACAATCTTGCTGATCATAGCCATTCTGTTCCTTTGTGGAATAGTGAATACGGTAAGCATAAACCTATCCAAGACCACATTGCTTCTATACACTAGTGTTATTAGCAAGGACTGCAACATTGTTTATTTGTGTTGTTGCGGAAATTTACAAAGCGCTCGGTGATTCATAAAAAAATTCCGTTAGCATCAAAAACCAATATAAAGTATATAAATAAAATTTCTTTTTCAAAACGCTGGGAGCAGTGCTATCTAGACAAATGTTAAGAATTTATTTGCAGTTTTAATTCATTTATTTCAGTTCTCCTGTCCTCAACCAGAACAAGCAGACGTCTGCCAGACGATTCACTTTGCCGCATTCTCGTTCGCCATGTGGATCCTAACCACAGCAGTTTTCATCCGATTCTCGTCCGTGTACCTTCTTGGAGTTCTCACTTTTGCGATCTTCATCTACACTATCCAAATTTTCCTCACACATCCACCAATCGGACCACAAGAGTAAGTAATAGTTTGTTAATTAGACTTAAAGTAATAGTTTGTTAATTAGACTTATTGGGGCTCCGGAGCGCCGTTGTTTAGTACAGTAAAAATTATAATCATATTTTCTATGGTTTTGTCTGTAGAACTTCGAAGTGGGCATTGCTCTCATTGTCTTAATCTTTGACAACTCAAAAAACTCTAGGTAGAAGGAGTCCAGATAACTGAAAATCTTTCGCTTATAGCTTGCAACATTGAAAACTCAAAAATTTATAGATTCCCAGAGAGTAGAGAATTTTTGTATTTGGAAATAAAATAGTGGAAATAGAAATGCAGATATCCTGGAAAATATTGTTTTGAAAATTGTTCACATTTAACAGCTGTTATTCCGCACAGAATGAAGGCCACCACGAGCTTTGAGCAGAGGAAATATAGATTTCCGGCGTTTGTCTATTTTTAGCAGAGTAACCACACCCTGGTCATTTCAGTTTTACTCTAATGATTTGATGGTGGGAGTGTAGCATAATAGAAATTACTGAATCATGATGTAGTGAGCAGAAGGTGCTCTCACTGTTCACATCTTCAGACAAAATTAGATTTTCTCAAGGGTTTCTTCAAATTCACAAAGCTTTCACAGAAGCTCAAAACTGCTTACAATTTAAAAAAAATTTTAGGGAATTTTTTCTCACTTGGTAGCGAGAAGCTGTAGACCTTGGCGTCGAGTTATTTGACAAGGCTATGAGGCTCTATAGAAAATATGATGCAAAGAGTTTTTTGCAAAATTTTTTCATCATATTTTCTTCCTGCATGGAACCCAGTAGTTTCTTTCTATTGTATGTACACTTGCGAATTGTATACAGATTTTTCACAACGTGCATAAGTTTGATTTTTAGTAACTGTTTTGGCTTGCAATCTTTTGTGAAACTCCATGATATAGAGTTGACTTTGGCTTATAGCTTACATTCACATTGCGAAAAAACGCCGTTATTCTCCATCACTTTAATATCACGGTATTGAATTTCAAGAGGGCTCTGAGCTAATGACAGCCAAATCTTGCTTGAAAATACTCCGAAGGAGGTTAGTAATCGGTTATCGAATAGACTAAGGCCGCTGATTTTGAGTATGGACTTTTCACTGAAGCTTTTCCTCCAGTTCAAGAGATATGCCAGCTAATATATAATCAAAACTGTTTTTGAAATCCTGTAAAAAAAATTATTTGTTAAGTCGACAAGTATGCAGTACCTGACCAAAAAGTATTGAGATGATTTGGAGAATTCTCAAATTGCTGACTTGCGATGAAGGCCTTGAAGGGAGCCCCTACCGTCATGGTACAGTAATAATGAACAGCAAAAACTGATTCATTTTGCACTTTGGAAATAACAAACCTCTTCAAAATATAGTTTGTGAAAAAAGTACTGTCACTCATGGTCAGTTTGCTTGCCACGACATCTTACAGATAACAGAATTCTATAATTTTTTTGTGTTGTAAAAAACAGCTTTGTAAGGAAATTTGTAAAATACTTCTTGCAAAATGCTGGAATGTTCCTTACCTCGGCTTTATTTCGATACCAAGAGAACCTGAAATTAACGCCAATCTGAGAGCTCTACTTTGCGGGACAGTACTTCTTCCGCATCCTCTAGTGTCTGAGACTAGCGAAAGAAGACAAAGAGATTTATGATCATACCCACATTTTTCGGGACATCCTGTACTTTTGTCGTTGTAGTACAAATTGGAGAGAATGGACAAAGTCCAGTGCTTGGTCTTCACCGATCGTGCACTCCTTCATCACTCGCAGTTTCTGCACGCGCGTCCTGCTTGTGATTTATCACGCCGCTGTGATTTTTTACAACGTTACAATCGCGTAGTGCGCGCTTTTTACGCGCTTGAAAACAGCACTTGGGGACTTTCAAAAGCCTTTATTTGTTTGCCAGCTTCGGTTTCATGTAGAGTTTTCAATCACGAATCTTTGCTTCAGGGTCAAAACACGGACAGAATTCCTTTTAGGTTCACTATTGAGTTCGATCTCTGGGTTGGACTATCATCGCTGGCAGCACTGGTATTTCTACACTCGAGAAGATGCGAAAAACTGATGAGACTCGACTTTTTGTCTGTTGTGAAGGTAAGTCTCCTCATTAAAATTTCCTCTTCGCCGATATTGATGTTTTTTGTCATTTTAAGGCGCACAGTTAACTTCATAAACTGCAAGATACATTAGAGGCAACTATCCGACAAAAGTCTAATTTTGAGCTCTCGCCCAATACCGTACCGCTAATTGTTAGCTGGAAGGAGTAGGGTCAGAGCGAGAGTACTGGCCTTTTCATATGGACTACATGGGACCTGGAAGACCACCAAGACCTAAGTGCCTACGCAACAGCCCGTTTGTCTCATGTTACTGAGATAACTTATTCTAATCCGCCACTACCGTACCGCTTCCTAATTCTCGAGGAAGAAGTACGGTCTGGGCGAGCGTTTGGAGTTGAATCCCTTGTAGTCATGGGTAATTTTTATGAGTTGCCGCTTGGGCTAGTTTGATTTTGGGTAATTTTTATGAGTTGCCGCTTGGGCTAGTTTGATTGGGGCCTATTCTTAAATTTTTACATAAGAAACCCATAAAACATTTTCCTCGACACTGGTTTCGTATTTTTACAGATTTTCTAGAGGGGGCACTGAATAGTGCTTCATATCAACGCTTGCCCTTTGTTCGCTCTTTTTTCTCCTATTTCATGGCCTTTTTGATTTTCACTTTTTTTGAAGTCTATTCGGCTTTGTAATAAAGGAAGAAACACTTTGTGGTCGTATTTTTACGCAAGAAAAAACACACGAAAAACTATTGAAAAAAATTTATTTGAGATGTTGTTTTTTGTCCTACTCTCGAGATCTTTCAATCAACGCATCCGCTCATTTTATCCTGCTCTCGCTCCTCTTATTCGTAATTTATGGCATTTTGCGGGGAAAAGCGCGTTGTAGGCAAAGGTCAGCACCGCTGTCTTCGCTCGGCTCTCTGCTCTTTATGAGACCACTGTGGAGACTTTACAACCATTGAAATACATTTCGTGGGCTCGTATAGCTGTCGATTGCCGGACATCGTCAGTCACAACAGCGCGAAAATTGCCACATGAAGTGGCACTGGTCGGCTCTTGACAGAGTTGCGAGGAGGGGGAACAAAGGGGTGGCGAAAGCTATAAATTGCAAACTTCAAAAAAGTCAACAAAATTTTCACTGCATCATTATTGTTTATGGGATATTTCCTTGGAAAGGAGACCGAACTGATCGCCCATAAGTGAATGTAGCAGGAACTTTTTTTCCGATTTACCGCGAAGAAATTTGCAAACTAAAAATCATCTGTTGAAAATAGAAAGAGGTGACTCGTTGCATATCGGATTGCCTCATTTCCCCTCCCCCATTCCCAAGGGGATGCCTCTAAATTAGTCAATTAAGGTGAAAGAATTTTCTGCTCAAGAAACTGCCCTGAATGCCCTAATCTACCCTCCAAAAATAACGAAAAGGGTTAAACAAATGTTTCCGAATGTTCGGAAGTGCCCTAGCCCCTCCTGCTTATCCCCTACTCTGGAGAATGGGTAGAGTTGAAAGTGGTCTAAATGGGTTATACATATCGTTTTTCTTTTCTCCTTCTGCAAAAATGACACAAACCCGTAATGGAACTAATTTCGAGAAAAACTCATCTCCGAGCTTTACGAAGAGTGTAAAAGAAACTTCACCAAAAAAGAAGCCAAATGGGCTATAAATATTGCCAAAGCTACTCCCCTAGTTTTATAAAAAAAAATTGTCGGGCCTTCCCTCACGAAGTTTTCTGACTGCTACTGCTACGAATGTCGTTGTTTGAAGAACGATTTAATCTCAAAAACTCTACTCTCAAGTTCAATAGTAATTTCCGTGAAGGGCGCTTTTACGCAACTTAACGAAATATTGCCAAGTTTTTCATGATTTTCCAAATTATAGGGAGTCGAAGAATCATCGTCAAAAGACCGTTTCCTCTTGCTGAACAGTCAAGTTTTGCTAAATCTCGTACCTCCCCATGTGGCTCCATGGGTGGTGGCGAAAACTGGCGAACAATGGCACCATGCTCATCATTCAGGTAAGTAGAATTCTTTGGTGACCTGTAAAAGTCAGTATTCCTATTTACAGTTGGTGTTGCCTATCTAACCGTGTCTGGTTTCAATCTGTGTGGCGAGCAGGGTTTGAATGGCCTCAATTACGTCTTCACATCTTTTGATCAGGTAACTTGAGAAGTCGAAATAGATAGGATTTCACAAGTTAGCGAGTGCACCCTTTGTTCTAGCAACTGAGCAACTTCCGTGGAATTGAGAAAATCAAAAGTGCAAATCGCTTCTACATCGTGGCAGTTGGCTTACTTCCGGATGCTGCACAAAATGTGAGTCACTCTCTGTTTATTAGTACTATGCACGACAAAGGAGGGGTACTGTAAGTTGGATAGGAAGTTTAGCTTTGTAAAAGGCCTTTATTCTTGAAATCGCGAGTGGAAACGGTCCAATTTTGGCCGTAATCTAAATGATAAATACAAAAAGTCACTGCATAGAGAGATAGCGGAGAGTAAACATCATTGAAACATTTTCCTTCACTTCAGTTCTACTTTATCATTGCTTTTTTTGCGCGAAAGTCTGAAAAATGCAGTAGAATACGACCATATGGAGTTCCGCGCACAACAAAAATTAGAAAGAAAATGAGAAGAAATAGATAAAATCATACGTAGAGTTTGCATTTATTGCACTTATGCATATAGCGAGAAAACGAAACGAAGCTCTTGCTTGTGTTTTTGGGACTATCCACTGCAATTTTTACCTTGATATCCTTGAGCTATGGTGTTTTTTTTGTTTTGAAAGGATCAAGGTTATTCATACTAGGTGAACGAAACTCCTTGGACCATTGGTGAGCTGTTGCACACTTTGGCGCAGTTTCTACTCCAAGCAACCCAGTTTGCAACGGAAAAGGAATTTCAAGTTCAGATAGGTAATTACATTCCAGCAAGCGGTCCTGTGCGGAGATAGTAAGAGATCTTGTTGTCAGGTGTGGACTGTGGCAGTGCACTGTCATTAGTAGCTGACACCGATCAACCTCGTTACGAACTTTGGGGTGAGACTGTTGAACGAGCCCGTATCCTGATGCAAAGCGCCAGTCATGGCAAAACGCTTGTCTCGGAGGAGATATTCCTAGCGCTCAGACCAAGAAATTTGCATTTCAGCACAAAACCTATCAAGGTTTGATACTACACATCGAGTGTAGGGAATCAACAAACGACGAAGTTTAGGTGATTCCAAATCTGAACGCTTACATCCTCTACAGCACGGAGGACAGCACACAACTTGAGAGTATGCCAAGAGAGGAGCAAGAGCGTCATACTCAGGGCATGTTCGAAGCAGCACAGCAGGTTGAGGTAAGCGATGTCCACATCTTTGAAACAAAAGAGACGAAACCATTGCTGGCAAATCTGGTGCGAAGGATTGTTTTGATGAACTGATTTGATCTAATATATCCGCTCAAGCTGCAGCCCCTATGATTCACTCTCTGCGAGAAATTCAACTCTAAACTCTTGCCTAGTACCGTAACCTGCAGAAAGAGTACGGTAGTGGGAGAGAGTCTAGTGGATTGCACGGCCGCGAGTGGATAATATGAGTGGCGCTAAGAGCTCAAAAACTACGAATAGTCTCAAAAAAAATTATTTTCCGAATTCGCACGCAAAACCTGGGTAGCTTCTCAAACATAATGAGCAGTCCCAAGTAAGCCATCGTCCAAGCAGCAGCTCATGCTAAAAATCCATAGTCGAAAATTACTTCAAGTTTTTGCCCAGTACGGAGTCGACGACTGAAGCTCTCTGAAGGACTACGGTACTGGGGGAGAGCTTAGAACTGATTTTTACGAATGGGTAATATGGGTGATGTTAATGGGATGGTCCGCTCAAGAGATATCAAACAGGCTTCAAAAAAAAATTTGATTTCGTTAATTTGCCTTGTAAATCTAGGTAATCTGGTTGCACGGAGACCTATAGGACAGTCACCAAAAACCCATTGCTTGAGTAGCAGCCTCGTACGAGAAATGGCCGAGACATCCAACTTTGAACTTGTGCCCATTACCGTACACTGCAACTGGTCAGTCGAAAGAGTACGGTAGTGGGCTAGAGTTTAGAATTAGATTTCATGACTACGAATGAATCACATGAGCTGCCGTTTGGGCATTGGCTTAATCAAAACCTCCCGGTAATCTCCACATGAGCAGAAAACCTCAAATTTGGTAGACACAACCGCGGAAGATTAGTAATTTCAGTCCCAGCTGACCTCCTCGATGGCGTCATCGTTCTCATCTGAGCTGCAGTCAATTGAAGGAGGTGGCGAAACAGACAGCGACATAGGTAATAACTAGCTCGACCACTTTTTTACACTAATGGATGTTCTCCCTGTAGAGTGGATCACTCCTGAGACGGCTCTAATGCATCAGTCAACATCATCATCGTACCAGTTTCGAGAACCCGTCATTCCACTTCGAAGCAACTATCGAATGTCTGACTATAACCCTTACAGGTTTGGTATAGTCTCCCTTCACCAGTAAAAAAGTGTGAAATGGATACTGTAGGGAACCATATCGAGTACAGGACATCGTCGATCAGAGGTTTGTCGACAGCTATAAGGGTGACCATGCTGGTCAGTATTCGGATTGGTCCGAGCAGGATAGCAGTAGAGCACCAAGCCGAGGCAGCCAAAGTGAGTGAATTTGTTCAATCTATGCATGTATAAGCTGCTGCATTACGAAAGCACAATATCTTCGGGAGCGAACGCGGCTTTATTAGCCGCAGAGTGCCATGACGCGCAGGAACTACAACGGTGAAGATACGCGCGCGCCGCGTTCGCGCCCGCTCAACTAATACCGCTTCAGCGCTTTCGTCATGCAGTAGCCGTGACGTTGCTTTAGAAATCTCAGGTTTATGGGTCATATAAGTCCTTTTTTTTCATTTTTCGCCCATTCATTAGATATTTTGAAAAACTGAACAATTCCGAATTTAGAAAAGCGGCGATGGCGGAGAGGCTCTTCGAAGTCATCGCTACGACATCCGTTTTCGTGGATGAAGCGGGTAGGCTGATTTTAAGGGGAGACGGTCAAGAGGCGCGATTTCTCTGGCTGTCACCAACTTAAAAGCCCATTTCTGCACTACACAAATTTTCAAAAAATTCCAGAGAAAGTCGCTTAGCTTACTAGCTGTTCGAAGTTATCATTTACTGAGTTTCACGGCTTTTGCTGCAAAAATGAGCGAAATATTCACGAAATTGCCATTATTTGCATTTTCGTGGGTTTTTGACCTCCAATGTTTCTGTTTTGGATCTTTTTAAGATGATAAAATCAGACAGCTCATGCAACGACCTTCCATAACTTCTCAGAAATTTGAAAGGCCCCTAGAACATTACTAAACATTCAAACTGTGCAATTTGATGTCCAGCTGGCAATAAAAATCGCGCCTCTTGACATACACCGGATTTTAAGCAATGTCAGCAGATTTTTCTAGAATTTCTCTCAACTGCAGTGTGTTTCAGTAGAAGTCAAAAGTTGCCTTATCCACAAAGAATTTATTTTAAGCAAAATTTTTAGGATTTTCAACTATGTGTTTATGTAGAAATCTTTGTAGATCATCACCAAACTGAAAAATTTACTATACTATGTTACTGCATTTGCAATTGCCGGCATCAAGTTAAAGGCCAATTTTGTGACTAATTTAGAGGAGAGTTTTTTTCAAAAGACAAACAAGAATCCGTGTAAATCTCGGCTGGCGTATGCTGGTACAGTTGTATCGGTGGAATCCGGGTAGGATTTGCGGAATTTAGTTATAACTTCTTCTAAAACAATTTCATTTGGAATCTGCAAGAAGATTTGGCTTCAGCTTGATGAGGCGAATCTTTTAGTATACATTATGTTAATCTCATAATGCACCATGGAGAACGGGCATAATGTATACTAGAAGATTCGTTTCAACACTCTGAAGCCAAGTCTTCTTTCAGATTCCAAATAAGTTGTTTTGGAAGAAGTAACAACTAAATCCCGCAAACTCCGCAATTTTGGCCGGATTCCACCGATAAACTGTAGCATCTCGTGGTTGATCGTAGATACCGTAAAGGAACCCTTCCTTACAATACGAGTCAAAGTCCAAAGCTTAATTATGTTGATTCCATACTTTATGTAATTTTTTGTTCAGGGCAACTCCACCGACTATGACGATTCATTGGCCGATCCAGCCGAGCGACTCGAAGCAGCAGCGAACAGAGTTGATCGCATGCTTCAAGAGCTCAATGCTTATGGAGATTTTGCCGATGTCAAGCCTCTAGAGTAAGTTTTAATCATAATACCATGTGATAGAAAAAAAATATATGTCTCTTCTCAGGTATCGCCTATTCCCCACTGCTTATGGCTCTATGAAGTCTGTAAACCGAGCCATGTCATCCGCTTGTCACACTGAGTACGACAACGCGGAATCGGAAGCCGCTCTATCCGATGTAGAGCAAAATGCGAATGGAAAGAGGTAGAAAGAAACCAAGTTTAAAATTTGCTAGATCTGCAATATCGCGTATTTCTGCAGAACTCAAGAGAAAAAACGAAGAAGACGGTGGCGTTCGCGAAAACCCGAAGACGCTGATGTCGAATCGCAGTGCAGTAGCGTGGCCAGCAGCATGGATCTCGATCCTCTGCGGTAATTTTTCGATTTTTTTGCGATCGACATAGAACAGAGAAACTCAGAACACATATTTTATATTAATACTCATTTTGCAAAGTAAATTCAATATTAATCCAAAAATTCGCTCTTTGAGTGAAAAATTCGTCGAAGTACTAGACTACCCAGGACATAATGAAAATAAAATAATGTCTATCAAAAGAAAAGGCAGACATCTTAAAGAAACTATAGAAATGTTAAAGCTGAATATCACTTTAGGTTAAGCTTAATTGGAGATTTGATTTTTCCTAATTCCGTACACCACTAAAAGTTTGAAAATCAATTTTCGTCATCTCCAAAAACGTGGAGAAAAAACGCGCGTATTCAAATTTGAGCTTCAGATTTTGCGATAAGATGTACATTCAATTAGCACATATTTCAGTTGGAAGTCCGTCCATTCGATTGGTTACGAGAACGAATATGAGATGCAATCTGATAACGAAGGCTTGGCCATCGAGGAGATGAAAGCACTATCCCGAGACATTCGAAAGAACTTTGGTGACTTCAAACTGGCCACTTTTGACGATATCGACCAGGATTAACGATTTGTTCTGGCCCGTTATTGCATCTCAACCTTGAAATCCCAATGACGCTCATGATTTCAACTTTTCTTACGGGTAACTAAAGGAGTGCGCATGGGTTCGTTTTCGAGAATGCTAGGATGATGCGGTGAAGTACTAGCACCATCCAAAGCATTCTCTCATTCATCAAACTGGACTCATGCATTTTTGCAAACGTCTTTTTCAATATTATTGTTGTTCCTTGTTTCAACCCGATTTGCTCACTCTTTGTACGGTGCTTTGATGTGTGGATATCTCGAATTCTGTATTCCTGTTTCTACGTCTTTTGGTTGGCATAAATCTCATTTCAAATTTTTGGAATTATTCAAAATACAGAAGCAAAGCTTCACTATTGAATGAGCACACGATTATGGAGGTCTCCTTCAAAAAAGTTTACTGATAGAAAATAAAAAAGGTATACAAATCTTACATGCGATACAACTTAAAGATGAATTTGAAAAATAAAGAGAGTGAAGGAACATAGTACATGTGAAAAATTTGCATGTTGGCAAATTCTGGCGAATCACTGGCAGCATAACGGAATGTGAGCAGAGTTGGAAAGAGAGCTTGTGTAGTTTATTTCAAGCAGAATTTTCACAGATTTGGAGATGGTAGGCAATAATAAGGAAGAATAAAATACTTGTTTCTTTTTTATAAGAAGTCAGACAATAATCAAAGATTTGATCGAAGGAAAATAACACCACTTACCTGCTAAGCAAACCCGACATATAGTAATCAAATGCTTCTAGCTACAAAGTACAATGAATATATCTGGCTTCTACATGAACAGAGCATAAGCCTATATATATTTGGCTGATACCTTTTACATATTTTCTTTGTCATTTTCGCGGATTCTGATAGCAGATTGGGCGTCTTGGTATGACATACCCAGCCGAAGACGTCTGCGAGGAATATGACTACCCGAAGTTGAAATCAAAAGACGCGTTCTGAATAGAATAAGAATGGAATACAGACAAGGCCATCTCTTGCAGGTAGATCAATCGCAAAACAAAACGAAAATTCGACTCATCATGAGCAATTAGTTAAGGATACTACGATTATCTGGTATAGTAAATCAAAATGAAAGTTTCAGCTGCATTATGAAAGAAAAGTAACGGTATTTCGTAAACTAGCAATACCTTGTTTTTGCCACGTTCTCTATTAAGCAGAGGGTGCAGCTGTATAGCTGTTTCAGAAGTGAAACGAAAAATGTGAAGATGCAGATAATACTTACGAGCAAAGTCGGCCCACTAACGATAATACTAATGACTCTGGAACGGGTGCAATTCCTTCAACCAGAGCTGCGAAGGATTTGTATTGTGAGAAGAGCTCAGCGAAAGAAAACTCGTCCGTTCTTTCAGACTGAAAAGCAATTGTATCATCTCGTGCAAGAACCGGTAATATAAGAAAACTCCAACGTAGACTAAAATATAAATAAATCGTCAACTCACCAGTGAAACTGCAGCTTTGAAAACTAGAAGGGCATGTTTTGACAAAATCTTCACAAAGTGAACCAATAAAGTCGATGACGCTTCACGAGTTGCGCAAAGAACCTGGGATTTTTACATGATCATAAGTAATCACTTGCTCTATACAAGAATGACTTACATGCTCTACTGTAAGCTTCTTGGCACCTTTTTCTATGGCTATTTCGATAGCACGCCGGAGCAAGTCCATAGCTTTGCGCAAATCACCGGTGACTGCGGCCACCTACAAATACGAAAAAGTGTTAACCTTTTCATAATGTTGCAAAACTGACGGAAGCCATTAGATAAGCAATTTTAGAAGTCACACCTTTCTTGCAGCAATCTGCACAGCAGCTTCGTCTATGGCATTTGTCGATCCTTCCAAACGATCGTGAATGATACGCTCAATTTCTTGAAACTCATATGGTTGAAAACAAATACGAGCAGCGCCCTAGAAACACTCGTTGCAAGCCAAAGTAACATGCGAGTTGAGAATTTCCAAACTAACAATTCGACTAGTGACCCTCTGGGAAAGCAGACGTTCTGGTAGGTCAAGAGTATTAGCAATGGCCATGACTGATACCCGAGCCGACTCAACTGATGTCCAGTTGAAGATGTCGTAAATAAGCTGAAGTTGTTAAAATAGTGCGAAATCGTAACGATAAGGATGAAACTGCGTACCTCTTGCTTTTTCGTGCAAAGCTGATCTAGCTCATCAATGAGAATGATAATAGGCGGACGATTTTTATCAGCCATCTCAAACATAGTGTTTAGTTTCCTACGAGCAGCAGCAGGTGAAATCCGATTAGAGTTTTCTGTGATTCTAAAAAGTTGCATGACTCCCGAAATACTTTGACGAATTTTCATAGCAAAGTTGTTGAATCACTCACTGCTTATAAATGTCAACAAAAATCTTCCTAGGGTCTATATATTCCATAGCATTGACAGTAACAAAACAGAAATTGTTGGCTTTCCGGTCTCTGGTTATTTGCTTGACGACCTAAAACAGTTTAACATCCAGTATGGGAAGGAACAAATGCTTCCAATGAACGCCGCCTTTGCGTAAGGGCGTTTCATTCCACCTTCCATACAGTTACATCGAAAATTCTACCACAATTTTGTAAGCAATTACTAGAAAGATAAGAGAGAAAATAACACCAACCGACATGACCGTGGCTGTTTTTCCCGTTCCTGGAACACCACTGATATACATCGCGCTGCTAGTGCCTCGAGCAGAGATAGCATTACGTATGAAGCGTTCTACTTCTGCTGCTTCCTAAAAATGTTCGAAGGGGTTACCCAAGGTTTACTGAAGTTGTAAATTATCTATTTCTAAATCTATGCAAAAATCGTACCTCTTCACGGCACGGCATCCGTTCAGGGACTTCAGCCGTATGCAAGCGACGGCGAAAATCTTCCAGTGTTTGTACTTTCTGAAGAAGAAAACCACGTTCAAGAAGTAGTGAATAGTTCCAAGTATGCATACCTTCACAGCCATTCTTGGATTGGCTAAAAGACCAGCACGTTTCTTTTCAGGTGATGCAACAGCTGCCATTTTGAATGCTATTTTTGGGCGAGCGCAAGACTTCCTTCTAAAAGCACTTCCTGAGTAATGCAAAGAGCAAGCACATAAACGCGCACCTTTCATCGACTTTAACTTCTTCCTCTTCAGATTCCGATGAGGTCACGTCGCTTTCGCTCTCGCTTTCATCACTCGAACAGCCTTCACTTGAAGATGATTCCAACTCTCCTGCTTCAAAGACCCTGCTCTTTGCAGCCAAACTTTTGCGTAGCGATTTCGCGCATATGACCCGAGCAGGAGTGCGCTTTGACGCCCAGGGGCTATCCTAGATCTAAGTATTGAGAGACGATCTCCGACAAAACGGATGATAACATACGGGTCCAACAGCGCGGTATTCGACTGAACCATCAGCGCGAGGTGTGACCGGCTTCAAACGCACTACGAGCTGAAATCGGATGTCAGGACATGCACTGAGCTAGGAATGTACTCAAAACAGCTTGAGGAACTTCTATACAAGACGAAAATGACGGCAGAAAACTAACTGGAAGAATCTTAACATCGTTGGCTTTTACTACACGGCTCCGTGTCTTCGGTGACTTGTACGTAGGACTTTCCAGTTTCTTCCTAAATGGAGAAAGTAAATGAGGAAAAAAGAAAATACAATTATATACTACCTGACAGTAAATGAAGCAATTCTAGCGGAGCAATTAGTTCTCGTTATCTTCATCCTCAGTGGTGTCCTGGATGATGATTGCTGGGCAGCAGAAGAAATCTGAATACAGGAAATGAAACCAATAGTAAACTTTGAAGAAAGGAACATATGAAATACTAAAGGAAACAAAAACAAGTAAAATACTGAAGAAACCACAATGCTAGCAAACTAAAAATCTTGCAAAGCCATACAAGCTTCGCAGCTCTGTTGGGTAGACGACGTCCAACGGTATCGCCTGCTGGAGGGATATTCTCATCGTTTTCGATTTCCATGCGATCATGATCCACCTATAGGAGGCGCTTTATTCTGCGATAAAACTTACAACATAAAAAAAGACATGCATAAATGGAATGACAACGATCTTACAACTGAAAGATTGTCGCGGTAGTTTCTGTCGCGAAAGGTTCTTCCAACCTAACGCGAGGCCAAAGGAATTGATGACCAAGAAATCGTTAGTTTATTTGCCGTTTTGGCAACTACTTCATGACACACTCCTTGCAAAGCATCTAATCTAAGAGGAGGAAGAGCAGAGAAAGAATTTTTCGCGCAGTTGCTCAAGAAACTCCTAGTTATAAGCCCACCTTATATTGTTACATGTAAGGCCTATTAGTGCCACGAAAAAAGAAAGAAAAGATGAATGAAAATGAAATTGAGCGCATGCTGTTAGTATAAGCATATAGTAATCTTCTTGACAGGTGGACGAACCTTGCGATATGTAGGTTTTGCAGATTTTGAACCCAAATCTAAACGTCGATGGGCAGCTGTCGATTGTGGTGTGCATCGCGCTCTCAAAGTAGGCCTTTTATTTTCATCGTGAGCTTCAGGAGACTCAATCAGCAGCTTAAAGCAACATGATTACAGAAAATATTGAGATGTTTAAAATGAACCCACCCGAGCAGCAATCTGCTGCGATATTTTTGTAGCAGGTGTTGCAGCAGATACAGTTTTCCGCCTGCTACTATGTTTGATGGGAGAATTGAACTGATCTTCATAGCCATCAATCTCAGCTATTACTTTTGCGTTGCGAGGCAATGATTGTCGACCTATAATTACAATCAGCCCGTGAGTTCGAAAAATAAGCAAAACCACTAAAAAAATCATGAAAATGAACAGGATACACAAATTCGACATTTGTAAACTTTGCATGCACTGTTATTTATGATACTGCCTAGACAAGCTGAAGACTGTTTTCTCACTGGATCTTAGAGTCATCGTCATAACCTATTACAAGCATGAAAATTTTAATGATATAGCCTTGAGCGGAATCAAAACAACAAAAACCTCGAAACAGTTTGCGATGCTCAAGATTGTCTAGATAACTTCTATAAAAAGTTTAGAGAAAATGCACGGGAAGAAGTATGTGAATAAAGAAAGTACCTTTACAAGGAGTGCGCGAAACAGTGGCCGCGGTACTTGTTTGCCTTATCCGCAAGGCGCTTCTTGAAGTCATTCTAGGAATAAACGATTAGTTGACGAAATATAAACATTGTGAAAGCGGAAAGAAACAAATTCACGACACACTGTTTTGAAAACTCGCTCTTCGCGGGTAGCGACACGGATGAGGTCACGCGTTATTGCAGACAGAGACAGTGATCGTACGCAATATTTTCACTTGGGGGCGGGATAAAGTTCGACCACCGACGGGCCAAATAAATGCCACATTTCTCACGAAGTTATTGTGAAGCTGTGACACTTTGCGAAGTTAAAGGCAGTGTCCCGGCAAAATCTCGATTTTTGGTGTTCCGCTTTTGCGGCTTTTTCGGAACGCTGGTTTCATATATGAGGTTTGCAGCGCTTCAAAACGGCAAGAACGAGCATTTATGAAAGTTCCATAGGTTGCACGCGACCATACATGGCCGTTGCCGTTAGGTGAGCGGATTTGGGCCAACCGAATGATTCGAGCTGCTTTGGGGGCCATTCGTAGGTTTATAGACCCCTTTCAAGCTGCGAACTTCTGTCACCGCTTAGTTAGGGGATCTACCATCACATCCAGCTGCTAGAGCCGGGTACCCCCAATCTGCCGGGACGCTACCTTTGAAGTGTCCCGGCATTTACATTTTGATCTTTCGGCATACTTTAGGCTCTTAGGCATACTCCTTCACGTCATGTAGAACTCGAATCCGAGCTTTACATCGGGTAAAGCGACCTTTATTATTGCATTTTTACTCTTTCCAAAGAGGGACTTGGACGAGAGTTTAGAAGGAAAGTCGAGATGTTTGGCAGGAATACATGCCGCCCTATCACTGATAGGCATGCTCAGCGGAGCAGCCTTGGTGGTCCCGGACGGGACCACCACAGCTGCTCCGCTGAGCGGGATATTTAGATAGGTGTCGTGCATCCCCCGAATCGTTCCCATATGAACCATCAATGTGGCTGGCGTTTTAACACGTTAACTCCAGCAAATTTAAAGGCGGCGTCCAGGCAAATCTGGACACATGGTTATCTCACCTGGAGTAATTTTGGGGCCCTACCTAAGCCATTGCCCAACCGGCAGCTCAGGTAGTGCTCTAGCGACTGAGATATTCCCCTCGAAACTGGACCCCAAGATCGTATTTTGCATGGATTCATGGCGCAACCCATCAGTTTCGCGCAAAGATCCACGCGTTGCGCCATGAATCCATGCAAAATACAATTCTGGGGTCCACTTTCGAGGGGAATATCTCAGCCGTTAGAGGACTACCTGAGATGCCGGTTGGGCAGTGGCTTAGTTAGGGCCCCAAATTACTTTCCAGGTGAGATAACTATATGTCCAGATTTGCCTGGACGCTGCCTTTAAGGCGCCTATTCGAAGTTGACATGTTAAGGTAATCGAAAGGAGGGTTTAGGAACAATTTTGGGAGACGCGCCATAAACGGAATCGTCCAAGCGCGCCGACTGGAGGGCAGTTTTCTCGCGGTGAAGGTAATATCAGGCAACCGGGTGGGGCCCGAAGATTAATGGCGTGACCAGGAATCCTTTAGGCCTTCATTTCCACGAACTCGAACCTGCCGGTACACCGTCTTTAGCGCTTACTAAAGGGTAAAATTACTTGGATACTTAGATGGCCTGTCTTCGCGTGGTTGCGGGCTTCAGCACAAAAGTTTTCATTTGTCCCTGTCCCTCGCTTCAGACATCCACAATCTTCTTGGTTGCCGTCGGTGGCTGTGTGCACGAGCTCCAATTGCGATGAAGTCGCCCACAACGAACGTGTAGAAGGGTTAAAGTGTTGAAGTGGTGGAAGGGTTGAAGTGTTGAAAATCGCGTTAAAGTGCCCGCAGCGAACTTGTGGAAGAACTCCTCGTTGCGGACAACCTGCTTCACGTCTTCGTGGAAAGCATCCAGCTTTGAATCGTCAGCTGCTGATGTTGCTGAGTAGCAGTTGATGATGCTGATGGTCTTCTGACATGGAGGTCGTAGTCGTAGGATGACAAGGTGACAGGATGCGAATCGACAAGATGAACGATTGATGAGTGGAGGCAAAGCCAACGCCTCCAACCTTTTCACCCCAAATGATAAGGGCCCCATCACTCAGCTGCCGCTCATCCTTCTTCCTGGACGAGGCTCTGGCGATGCAGATCCACTGAGCGCAGCAGATGCATGGACTGATAGCATCGCACTCGACGGTCAAACTTGCAGCTTGTAGATATCTGCCTTCGCTTCCAGCTTGCTCAGTAGTAGGGCACTAGCTAACAAATCGCACATTAACTGCAACCTCCGACAAAGTGTACGCTTCACCTCCCCTTCATCGCTTTCAACCAGCATTGAGTTGGGAAGCTTGTTTTTCCTTCACAACTCGTAATCAGTTCCATCGCCGTTGGAAGAATATCATCTTTTTGTTTCTACAAATAAAAAAGTTTAACGATAATTCGGCGCCAGGTGTCCTCCCAGCTTCCCATGGGTAGGTTCTCCATTTTGATAGACAAGAGGGCATATGATGACGAGTCGACGTCCTCGAATACGGAAAGCGAGCTTTTCAAGGTGCTCCCGGCGCCTGTGTAGAAGCTGAAGCATGGCAGTCGCGACGAAAGTGCTGAAAAATCGGCCAATGTTACAGGAGTAGCAGGATGTTTCAGGCGCTGTAAGAGGCTCTGGTTGAACTTCACGAGTACAGCGCTACTCCTATTGCAGATTCTGTGTGGTCTCCATCATTCCAAGAAGAAGTCCCCGTTCGATCACTCTGATCGCGATCTTCGATCCATTCACGCGTCGAGTACTGATCGCCACTTGTTGTATTCGTCATTTCCTTGGTGGCATGGTGGGGCGGGACTCCTACAGATAGAATAATTATTAGTTGGATGGATACAAACAAGAAGCTGAAGAGCGCGGATTGACTAATAAAATATCCGAGAAGAAGCGACTTTTATAGCCTTCTGTTTTAGCGTATATACAATATCAACGGATCTCTAAGATCAGAAAACAATAGTAACAAAAACAATGATACTCCTCAACAATAAAAATAACTCAAAATATAAGTTTAATGTTTGCTCGAGCTGTCAACTTCTCGTAACGTAACCACTTTTGAAGTATTTATGGAGATCTGCTTTTAAAATTTTAGGTGTTATTTGTTTTGAGAAGTAACTAAACCTATAGTTCAGATCCTACCATTACATGCATTCTTATCTTTGCATCCTTTTTTTGTGAAAGTACTGATGAAAAGTCGTAGCGTTCGAAACATTCTAGCGACCAATGTGCGTCACAAATGATTTTCGTTTTTTTGCTAATAAGTGGAGAATGCTTAGTTTCCTATGTTTTTATATATAGCCAATTACAGGCAGAGCTCAGAAATTTTCAAAAAAGTTGGAGAACGCGACCGCTCGAATTCCACATACTGGCAACGGCAGTCTCCCTCGATATTCACAATGTAAACGGACCTACCCATACTTACTCGTTGGAATTACCGTTTCCTGCACAGTTTCTTGCATTCACTAGGCCTCTGGTCTCTTAGGCCTGTATGCACGTACATCCCCGCTGGGAGAGGAGAGAATCTGATTGTGAGAGGAAATGCGACATATCTTGCTACTCTAGATATTTTTCTCCTTTTCTTTAGCTGGGTTACGAAGGTTCTCATATCGTATACAGTGACCGCCAAAAAGTTGCGGACAAGCCGCCTTCCTGTTTTCGTCGCTCATTTTTGGATGGAAAACAAAGATGAAAAAATGTTTGGATCGCTTGAGGTGATAGAGCTCTTCAAGAGCTACAACCCAAACATTGTGCTTTCTGGAAAACATGCATTTTAAAAATTTCAAAAATCTTTTTCTAAGAAGAGTCCGAAAATGGCCGCGTCACAATGTCGCGGACAATAATTCTTCGAACGCGAATATTTCCTTTTGGGTCCTATTTTCAAGTGGAAACACAAGTAATCCGAAAAGGTAAGCATACTACATTATAGAGCTCATCGAGGACAATAATAAGGTAGTGGTAATTTCCAAAAAAAACCCAAACTTGAATTTTATTTTGCTTTTTTCGAAAAATAGCTTCTAATTCCCTTTTTCAAGCCAAATTTCTTCACATGTGAACCTATTCAAGACATCCTAACAAAGCTGTCCGACTAAAATGGATGCTGCCATCCTGAATGCATCGGACGTGTGTTGGTGAGTTTCTTTGCTGAAAATGGCTCTTGACAGTGCGTGCACATAACCCCACCTGCACCTCACCACTGAATTGTACCGCTTTGCAGGCTTTTAGCTCGGCCGGCAGTCATTCTACGAGCCTGCAAGCAGGCTCTTTCGAAAGAGCGTGACTTTCTCTACACGATGGTATGCAAACGAGTTCAGTTTCGGGAATAACAGAGATTTGGCGGATGGGGTGACAGAGCGCAGCTTCTGTGGTATGGTAAGGATTTTTCAGCAGAAACTGAGCAAGCTCCTTTCGCTACTAGTTCTACTCTGGAAGTTCAAAACCGTCACTTTATATGCAATAGATTCATTTCGGAGCTCTAAGACTGTTCTGGCGTTGATAAGAGCCTTCACTCCAATCACCTCTAAGGCTGCGCTCTGTCACCCCATCCGCCAAATCTCTATTTCCGAAACTGAACTCGTTTGCATACCATCGTGTAGAGAAAGTCACGCTCTTTCGAAAGAGCCTACTTGCAGGCTCGTAGAATGACTGCCGGCCGAGCTAAAAGCCTGCAAAGCGGTACAATTCAGTGGTGAGGTGCAGGTGGGGTTATGTGCACGCACTGTCAAGAGCCATTTTCAGCAAAGAAACTCACCAACACACGTTCGATGCATACAGGATGGCAAAAAGCATTCATTTTAGTCGAACAGCTTTGTTAGGATGTCTTGGATAGGTTTACATGTGAAGAAATTTGGCTTGAAAAAGGGAATTAGAAGTTATTTTTTGAAAAAAGCAAAATAAAATTCAAGTTTGGGGTTTTTGGAAATAACCACTACCTTATTATTGTTCTCAATGAGCTCTATAATGTAATATGCTTACCTATTCGGATTACTTGTGTTTCCACTTGAAAATAGGACCCAAAAGGAAATTTTCGCTTTCGAAGAATTATTGTCCGCGACATTGTGACGCTGCCATTTTCGGACTCTTCTTAGAAAAAGATTTTTAAAATTTTTAAAATGCATGTTTTCCAGAAAGCACAATGTGTGGGTTGTAGCTCTTGAAGAGCTCTATCACCTCATGCAATCCAAACATTTTTTCGTCTTGTTTTCCATCCGAAAATGGGCGATGAAAAAAGGAAGGCGGCTTGTCCGCAACTTTTTGGCGGTCATTGTATATATTATACATAGTAGCGTATATAGTTGCCACGGTACTGTCATATAAGGTCAGATTTCCACCATTTTGTATGGTGTGTATGTAAAACATGTTTAAAGTAGAAAGTAGTGAAATCTCAGGTTAACGAAATCTTCAATGAACTACTGCTTGCGAGCTAGGGGTTACCGAAAAATTCACAAACTTTAGATTCCATTTCTCCTGTCCCGTAGAAAATCCTCAGTACAATTTACTGCGTTTTCTTTGTGTTTTAGGGAGATAAATGAATTTAAAAATAAGAGCTGATACCCTGAGGATCCCTAGGGGATTTCAGGGAATCACACAAATTAGTGAAAATCTAATCCTGTTGGCACTAACCTGACATTCATTATGCGCAGGTATCAGGATATGAGAACCTTCAGAAGCCAGACAGAGAAGGAAGAAAAATTTTTAGAGTAGCGAGATATGGCGCATCCCCTCTTAGATCCCCTCTCCTCCCGCGAGGGTACGTACATACGGGCCATAGGAACTTTTAAATGTACTTTTGAATGCAGTTTCCTTTTTGACTAAGAACTGCTTTCCATTGCACAGTGGCTTTGGTTAAGTGTCATGCTCACTTTTCTGTTCTGCCACCTCTACATCATGAAATGTAGGGCCAGTGTTTTTTCAGTGAATAGGCATTGACACTAAATATCAAGTAGTAGGCACATTCGAGTAACGAGAAAATCTTTTTTATTCAAATAACGTCAAACGCAGGATCACTGTAATCAAGGTTTTTTATTTGTGTCATATCTTACAAAAATTTTTTTGCTGTACGGAAGTATGAACACATTTTGAATGATATTTCTGTGACTGTTCCTCGGCAGAACAGCGTCGAACTCAGCATTTTCCTGAAATGCAATCAAGAAAAACTTGAGAAATTGATTCGATATGGGTGCATCTTTATGAGCACTGGAAATAGAGGAAGTTGTTGGGAAATGATTTTCTTGTTTCACTTAAAGCAAAGAATTATAATACGTACCAAGCTTCAGTTGAGGATATATGCTGTAAAGGTTTTCGCATGCATTTTTGTCCTTACGGAGTTCATCAAAAGCTTTCTGGACGCTGAAATATTACGCAGGTAATATCGGGTTCTATGACACTATGATCAATTACCTTTCAATCTGCAAGCCTTCCTTGCGCCACTCCTTCCCTGCAGAACTCGCGACCTAAACAAGAATATTTTTGGCTTTGGCTGGCAGAACAATATTCTTACAAGGGAAGAATACTCGGTGACTTTTGCCAATTGGAATACGATGTATACTGTAAGATGCATCTCGAAACGCTGATTCTAAATCTGTGCTCGTTATCTGCGAAACGATCTTCTGAAGACAGTTACGAACTTTTTATTTGCGTGTTTTTGGGTAATTAAAATTGCCAAATTTGTCTATGTCACCGTTTGAAGCTATTGAAGAAAATCTCAAAAGGAATACTGATGTATTATACAGTGCTGGCCAAATTGCAGCCACTCCCCAGTTTTGCTATATCTTACTCTGTTTTGTATAGAACGGAACCAAATCTCGATATTACGTACAAATCACACTGCTTAACACCAAAAGATCATGCAGTTTCATGCACACAGAAGAGGACTGTGACGAAAATGGCTAATGTGGTGAAATCGAGGTTGGTCAAAACTTGCACCCACTTCCCGCTAAATGTCTTTGAAAACCTGTCACCGTCTACTATCTCGATTACAGATGCACCCTAAGCCTTGAGATATGCAGTGCAACCAGCGGTCATCAAACACTAAAAAATGAGATTTTATGGAGCAAGTTTGCTCGAACGCTAAATGACTGCAAAAATTGAACAAATCATTAGGTAGTCAAGAAGTAATCAACTGAGCCGTGCTTCCAAGTAAAGGTTGTACCATCTGGACGTTCAGTGACGGCTTGCGAATGCGACAGAACAAGCATGACCAGGCATGCTTCGAAATCTACCATCAACATAACTCAGAGTTGGAGCACCAACTTTAGCTTAAAAATTGAGCTCAGCGGTCTAAAAAGTTCTTGAACTTGATGAGAACACTGCTCCTACAAAGACAATTTGCCCGAAACTCGCGGAGCTTTACTGGAAGCATGGAGGCGCTACTGCCAGAGAGAATTTTTGCGATTGTCACATCTAGGAAATGTTCGATTACCAAAGGGAAATATCAGCTGTGAAATTCGCTCAAACTTTTCCGAAACAGTAACAGTAACAGTAGCCTCCATGTTTCCTGTGAATTTCTGCAAAATTTGGGTCAGTGCTTGTCTTGGTAGAAACAGTGATCTCATCAAGTTCGAGAACATTTTAGACCGCTGAGCCCAATTTTTAAGCTGAAAGGCTCTCCAACTCTGAGTTAAGATGACGGTAGATTTCGAAGCATGCCTTGTCATGCTTTTTCTGTCGTACTCCAAGCTGCCACTGGATGTCCAGATGGTACAACCTTCACTTGGTGCAGGCTCAGCAGGTTACTTCTCGTCATCCTTATGATTTGTCCAATTTTTGTGCTCATTTGGCGTTCGAGCAAACTTGCTCCGTAAAATCTCTTTTATTAGTGTTTAATGAGCGCTAGTTGCACTGCATATCTCAAGGCTTAGGGGTGCATCTGTAACCGAGATAGTAGAACGGTGACAGGTTTTTTAAAGACGTTTAGCGAAAGTGGCCGCAAGTTTTGACCAACCTCGATTTTACCACATTCGCATTTTACCTGGAGCCCCCTTCTGTGTGCTTGAAACTGCATGATCTTTTGATATAGTGTTAAGCAGTGTGATTTGTACGTAATATCGAAATTTGTATCCGTTCTATGCAAAAAAGAGTAGGATATAGCAAAATTTGGAAGTGGCTGCAACCTTTTGGCCAGCACTGTATCAGGTCGTTTCGAAAGTAATGTCGCTTTTTTCATGAACGCCACATTTCATGGAATCAAGATTTTCAGGAGCTCTTAGGAGCATTCGATGCAGCACTTCATTCTCTTTCTAAGGGTTGTAATTTCATTGCATATCAATCCACGAGCTCTCGAAAAATTACCAAAATCTACTACTCATGCTTTTTGCCATGGGCAAGTTCGGTTATTTTTTTTAAATTTTTTGTACCTATTCTTCGAAGAAGTACAAATGACTGGTAGATAGAGCAAACCTTATAGGACACAGTAGGTTTTTCTTTTCCTTAGCTTGCTTCTTAGAGTTTCTGGAATGAATTTTTCAATGCTATCAGATTCATATTTGGTCATCATATTAAAAAACAACAATCGGCAGGCAAATGAGGTGCCATTCGACGCAGCTTCTTCTCCTCTTTCTACCAGTTGTTTTTTGTCCCCGATTCATCAAGTTTTCTGGTATAAATCATCATATTTGAGGTTTTCCAGGGCGCCCCAGGCTGTACCCGGAATTTTCAAAAGTTGCAATCTGAAGCGGTGAATGCTCACTTGGTTTGTAAAATTAGTGTCAAACCATAATCCATCTCAGGGCTCGGCACGAGGTGGCTAGATGAAAATGCAAAAAACGAAGTCCCCCTTGACTTTTGGGTATTTTTACGAAGTCCCCTTTGACCCCCCACCATATTTAAAAAATCCTCCAAAAAACGAAACGTCGACTAAAAAAAAAAGAAAAAAAACGTCGCCAAATCGCCAATTTTGCGTGTGTCTTCGGTCACAAAAACGAAACCTCCTTTGCTTTTCGTCCCAAAAACGATATCCAGCTTGCTTGTAAGCCACCTCGTGCCGAGCCCTGATCCATCTTTGTAAGTTTCAAAATTCGAAGATTTCTTGGAGTTTGATGCATTTGTGTCTGAGACGTGCCTGCTAAAATTCGTTGGTTCCATCAAAAAAAGCCGATACAAAAATTATGAAGACCTTTGGAAAGTAGAAAAAAGTTGTGCTGTTTCCTGTTGGGTTTGCCCTATCCATCTATTACTTGGACTCCTTCCGAGGTTTGTTATAAAAAATTAGAAAAGTTGTGAAACTTGGCCTTCTGAAAAAGCATGGGTCGGATTGTGATAATTTTTCGAAAGGTTACTGAATTTTGTGCAGCGCTTATATAAGCAAAAAAGAGAATGAAATGCTGCCAAAATCTCTTACACATCTTTGTTCCACGAGATGTAGTGTACGTCTGAAAAAAGCGACATTACTTTCGGAACGACCTAATAATTATATAAATCATATTCAGCATTTGAAAAGGAAAGAAGATTTTTTATTGATCATTTTGACCTTCCGCAGTAGCGCAGTTTATTCATATAAAAGTAATCATAACTCCATCCAGCTTATCGTTTCGCAGATATGGAAGATAGTTTTCGAACCAGCATTAAATGGCGCATTTTTTGATATCAAATCGTTACGGATGGCCACGGTGACCAAGTATCCTTCCCTTGTTAGGGCTTGGTACGCAAAATGTAGTTTTGTGTAGAAGTTAACGCAACTAGTCATATGCCCGTCTACCCCAATGCTTACTTTTTTGACGAAGTTCTGTGCAGGCATCATCAGCTTTGACACTTTGTTGCGCATTGTTTCTAGCTTGTCATTAACAGTTTTGTTCGATTTGAAGTCCGTGCTCCCCTGAACTTATCAAGTTTTATATTTTGGACCGTCAAGTTTATAGATAAAAAACAAAAAAGCAAGTGTTCTGCCAGTACAAGTTGGTATTCCCTTAAGTCTGCGTAAAGTTGTTCGAACTCAGCATCAGTCAATTGTATCAAAGCTTTGAAAACTTCTGTAGCACCTAAGAAATTTTACTCTTTGAAATTTTACAGCGAAAAAAAAACCACTGCACTTTACTTTTGTAGGGTTGAGAAGAGAATGTCTCAGTGAACAAAGATGGTAGGAGGACAGCAGCTGCGATAAAAATGAGCATTTGGGAACAGGCGGCTGTCAAATCTACAGCTTTTGGTTGGCTCGAAGGACAAGATGACGATGTTTTAAGACTGTTTTAGTAATTTGATATGCAAATATCTTACCAGCCTCCAAAAAGCATTTCTGACATTATCATGCTAACATACATTAACGATTATAATACGTTAAAACCACTTAGCTTCCGCTTTCACTTATGTCAACGCATTGACTAAACAGTCAAAGACATCAAGCAATCTTTTAACAAAATTTGCAGTCTTTTTTTACATATCATATTCATCAAGTGAGCGCAAAGGTGGATTAGTAACAATTTTTGCGTCATTACATGCGATGACTTGAAGGCCGGAAGCATATTTATAGGCTGATATTTGAATTTTATGGGAAAGATGATTGATACTTATGGGCTTTCGTTCGAGCAGAAGTTGCATGTATCTATCACTCATTTTGAGGGTATGGGACTGGAAACAGCTTTGTACATATTGTCAAAACAAGCTTGATCGGTGTTCGGCAAGTCTATAAATAATCGCGATCGCTCAATCTAGGATTATTTGCTGCTTGATATCAGAATGGAAAATTTAGGCTTCTTTACACAGTGCGTGCAGAGCGGTTCCTTGTCTCTTAATCTCAAGAAATAAATATTAGCCGGTCCCTCTGCTTCGCTGAGGCTCGCACTGACTAATAAAACGTGAAGAAAATGACTAGCTATGCGTATTATAGATATTTCCACATCAGTGGCTAAAATTCGAAAAGTGCTGTTTATTTGCGCTTGAATTTTGTCCAGAAAAGTGAATGCAATGAAGTTTTGATTCTTGATATAGTGCAAATTTTAATAAATGAGGCTGAAAGCCCGCTTTAACTATCACTAGATAAGGCACGAAGGAGCTTTTTGATGGTATGCTTCACCATTTTCCAAGAAAGTATATTGATGGAAAAAGTTTGTACTGAAAGCTTAAAGACACAGTATTGTTGCGTCAACCTGATAGATACGAATTTACAGAAGTGGATTCGATGACCTAGAAAGTCAATAAAAAACAAGACTCATACGATTGAAATTGCAAACCTTGAACAAAACGCAAGATGTTTACTTAACCTGCTTACTTATCCATGAAATCCTTTTCCCTCTACGAACATTATTTTTTGAAGGGTGATGAAAATGGCAAGGTTATGAGAACTTGCTCCGAAATTGCTAAGGAGGAACTGAAATAATTTTGTGGTCAAAATGCGGATGTGCACAAGAATGGGGTACCGACGATCCAGACTTGTATACAAGTTTGCCCCATTCCCCCATATTCGTTCAGTACTATAGAGCTATTCTTTGCAAAGGATGACTAACACAGACACACAACCAACTTTCGTATGTGGGTGTTCCGCACACGAATGCGAATGTGACAGCGCCGATGAGTAGGCCTTTGCAAACCGTCAGTAGGCTTTAAACATGAGGTTTTTCGAAAACTCCTAGTGAAAATAAGTGTTACAAAAATCATCTGCCATGCAAATACAATCACGGATTAATTCCTTCGATACATGATGTTTCCCCTCTGCGAACATTTTCTACCTGATCGACTTCTTCTATCTTAATATACCGCATCATCAAGACAGTCCAATCACTTCTGCCGCTCAAACGTGGCAGTTTCTTCTTGAGAGTTAGGTGTAGTCATTGAAGGCAGCGTTCGCGCAAACATCCGAGCTTCGAGGACCCGAACACTTAGATATTCGCACTGCCAATCAGGGCTCGGCACGAGGTGGCTAGCTGAAAATGCAAAAAACGAAGTCCCCCTTGACTTTTCGTTTTTTTTACGAAGTCCTCTTTGTCCTTAGAACAGAGCTGGGCACGAGGTGGCGTCCCGAAATTGCAAAAAATGAAGTCCCTTTTGACTTCAGTGAAATTACGACATCCGCCACAAGATATTCGAAGAGAAAATACATGAAAAGGAACGGAACAAAGAAACAGTAGGAAGAAAAAACGAAAAAGAATCATCGAACACACGCGATGATATTCATATTCTCCGGATTGGCGGCATGATGTATCTATCGTGCAGCAATACGCGCCTAGAGCAGCCTTTCCGCCGCCATTCAAAATTTTCAAGGGGCTATAACTAAGCGGGGAGAAGGGGGTTTGAGGCGGTTTAGGAACCAGTTTGTAGGGTTTGGGATGTAGATGAAAAGTATGTAAAGAAAGTAGAAAAATTATGTGAGGAGGGAAATTTTATGACTTTTTCTTTCCTAAGCCACCTCAGGTGGCTATCCAGGTGGCTTGAAAGCCACCTAACTCCGAAAAAAGTTGAGCACGCCTTTAGTTCACATAATTTTTTCATAATTTTTCATACTTAGTCCTAACTCCCCATTGCCCATCTACACACCTATTTTGGTGTCATTTCATCTTCACTTCGCTGTAAACAAACCCTTTGTTTATTTGCTGGCGGCATGCCGGCAGCGTGCCGGCAGCGTGCCGGCCGCGGATCGAAAGACAACGTTATGCTCTTCCGCAGTAACGATATCCCCTTTGCTTTTTCCCCAAAAACGATATCCAGCTTGCTTGCTAAGCCACCTGTGCCGTGCCCTGCTGCCAATCTCCTCGAACGAAATCTCCTCAGCCCTTGATGCGTTTTCGCATGGCTAACACAATCGAACGCATGATGGCCTGTTGATGCTCGCTTTCGACAAGGATAGCGCTCGGAAGTTCGTCCACAAGCACAAAATAGACAAAAAAGGAATTTTTGAGGGATTCAGGCTTGTTGAGTATCTTATTTGAAATTAGCGGAATGAAAAGATTGGAAGAGGCAAAAAATAGAACGAGAATTAGCCCAGACGCTGCTTTTCTTGACCTATGCATCTAATTCGCATTTTTTGCTGAAATCAATATTGCAAAATATTCCATCACAAACTACATCTGCTTGTCCTAGTTGACAAAGCTGATCATATCCCACATACGAAGCCTGGCTTACAGAGCTTGAGAAGCGACTGTTTTCTCCTGTTGTTCTGAAAATTCAACAAGTGTAGAGATTTCGGCCGGTTTTTTCTCGAACGAATAGTAAATTTCGCTGCTCTTTAAGAAACGCATCTTTAAGTCTTTATCGGGTCCGCACATGACCTGGCTGGCACTTACAATGGGACTGTGTCTATTTTGAAAGAGCAGGGTTTCACTGCGAATGGCGGGTGGAAAGCGGGGCAATTGCCAAGCCTAGGGTATGATCAGAGAGCACGCTCGCGAGAGAGGTGCAGGCTTGACTAACAATCTGAGTCCTGCCTTACACCCGCCATTACCAGTGAAACAAAGGCTACCAGATCGACTATGTTCATCTAAGGCCTCGGACAGAGTTCTCGCGATTTGATCGTCGCGATTCAGTCTGTCCGAGGCCTAAGGCAAGGGACATACCTCACGCGATTTCAGTCGCCACGCGATCTGGCAATTTGCCATTGTCTTCAAATTCAATACTGGAAGACCTCAAATGCACAGCATGTATAACTTTCGTAGGTTGATAAAATGCCCCCTCTTCCGTACATTCAGGAACCCCGTAGGATGAGTTATGAACATTTGGAGTATTGCCAAATCGCGTGGCGACTGAAATCGCGTGAGGTATGCCCGAGGCCTAAGGCAGCCTTCTCGTATTGATGGCTAGTCACCTCCTTTATATCCGTGTCTATAGATAAGACGAGCTGATATCTTATGTTTCCTGTTTGTCATTTTTTTCTCTTCCGTGCATCTTTAGAGTATAATACAAATAAATCAATAAACAGATGAACCAATTTCAACGGCCACCAGAACTTGGCGATTTGCCGTATGTCTTCAGAACTAACACTGAGGAACTACAGCGCAGCTTATAACTATAAACTGATGAAATGCCCCTTGTTCTGTTCGAATTGCGCTTACTATGAGCATACCTTCGATACATAGAGCCATGTACTCTGGTAACCTTCACTTTGAGCGTCATGGTGGAACACAACCTTCACCTGAAGAGAAGTACAGAAGTCATCCGGGGCGAAGCCCCGGTAATTATGACATAACTAATGACATAACCGTAGGATGAATTTAAATGAGGCAAATATAGCAGTGACATTCAAAAGAAGCTCAAAAAACCGAAGGATTGCGTTTTTATGGCCTTTTTTGTTGAGAAGAAGGTTTTTATTTGAAAATTCAATCAAAATCTAGGGCAAAATTTCTCAATTAACCTTAATTAACCTTTATGAACTGCGGTTGATTGTTGGAAGTTCACTAAAGCTGCCAGAGTTCAATAAAAACGAAAAACTGCGCTCAAATCTTGCGCAAAGAGTCGCCATATGAATGCTGGTCTATCTCGTTATGGAGTGATTTTCAAGACCCGCGACGTTGTCAGTGCTGCTGGCCGTCTCATGAGGATCACAACGATATATAATGTTGCAGGGTTTCGTTGAGACCCCGCGAAGATCACGACCAGAGCCAAATGCCCCGTCGGCTCTGGTCTGTCTCCGCTGCTCGTCTGCGTCTCCGCGCGCTGCGCGCTACCTCGCTACCTCAAATGCGGGGCGCGGGGCATTTGGCTCTGGTACCCTTTTCTTCGTTGTTCGGAGCCCAATTTCGATAATCTATATATCATATCAAAGCTCTTGACCTCTATTTTCACGCTGACAACGTCGCGGAACTTCTTTTTAAAATTTAAACGAGAAATCCTCGAAAAACGGCGTTTTCGAAAACCTCTTGTTTTTTCTTCAGTTCAACTTTTTTCACTCAGTTTTTTTGTGTACTCGATAGGTCTTGTTTCTGTCTATGATGTAGACAATGTCGCCGAGCTTACTTCTTTCTTATGCCGGTTTTTTTGGTGAAAAATACAAAAAAAGTGCGTTTTTCTTTACCTTGTTCCCTTTCTGTGCTTTTGCAACGAATTTTTTCCAGCTTGGACGCTACTTGCTCAGAATGATGAGCGGAAGAATCCAGACAACGTCGCAGCGTACGAAACGACTATGCGGGGGTGAAAATTTAAAGGACGCATCAAAAATCAGATTGGCGTCGATGTGCAACACAACTTTACAGACATGTTTAACACGTTCAGTCCAGTTGTTGACAAGTTCTTCTTCTTTCGGTCTCCCAACTAACGCCACAGCTAAACAGCGCTTTTTTTGATTGGAAAAGAACTTTGTTGTTGTTGCCACCCAATTTAACCGGCAATCCTGGAGACGAAACTCTGCGTAGGAAACCACCAAGTTAAGTTTTCAGATTTGGTGTGTGCTAACCTCTGCTTTATATGAATTTTCTAAGTTTCCTATTCTACTTTGTATCTCTAAATTTTCGTCTATTTTTCTGAAACAACCTTCACTTTTTATAGGGGGCAGGAACTCAAACAACTATCACTTTCTAGCCCCTGTCTCTTGACTATCGAAGGTATGACTATGAGTGATGAGATACTGAAGTGTCGCCATGAGGTACGCCCGAGGTCTTCATGGTAAAACAATTAGATTAATAATTTGTTACAGCACAACTGTAAATGTTCTAGCTTCTCTGATGCAGAACAGGAATCATTGAAAGAGTTTAATAGGTAGTCAAGAGTGATGATGTGATATTAACGCTTCTTGACTCTATCATCCACTTGCTTCACTTTCTATCAGTGCTCCTTCCTCACACGTCGCCACATCAGCTGCGGATCTGAAATTTTGCGGATTATTCTAGCCTTTTCAAATGTGAGTATCACGATAGGCGTAAGTGAAAAGTACTCACTGATTGGACTCTTTCTCGGTGAGATCCTTTTCAGTATCTGATTTTTTGGTGTAATATTCGTGATAGTAACCACCTTCTTCCCAATCATACGGCTGACTTTCTGAGTAATCCAACCGTGCACAAACCTAGAATCAGTGTAAATGTACTTCTGCTAACTAGTTTTACCAGAAATAGCACTTTATCTAGTTGTCTTCGTATCATTTCATAATTTGGTTTCGATTTGAATTCAAGATGTCGAATGTGGTCATAGATCATGTACATCTCTTGAGGGCATTTCAGCAGTAGACGTGATCCAATTTTTTCTTTTTTTTTCTCAATCACCTTGTCCTCGTCATTTCTCCATATCAATTTACCCTAGAAGGAGAACATACACTCTACCAATGAGTAACCTTGTGACTAAAGTAACTCACTGCCATAAATTCCACTGTCATGTAAAGCCAGGCCCACAGATCGTCTCTCCTGCCTTGATCGAGTTTCTTGTGCATGTTTGGGGAACAGTATTTACTAGTCCCAAGAAATGCAACGTGCTTTCTTGGTGGTCGATGTCGCACTTCTTGTTCGCTCAAAGCCAGCTGAATAATCGTTTCTTTTGCTACTTTTGTGAGAAGCCAAAAGAGCTCACAAATCGTCTACAAAATCCCAGATCAAGTAGGTAGACAATTCGCTCCGAGGACCAAGCAAAATTGCTGGCCTTTATATCTCTATGTATGATCCCGGTACGATGTAGGTCATGTATAGCCTAAAAGATGACTCTTGATTAAAGTCTGACCCCAAAAAGCAGCTGTCCATGTAAGCTAAGCGCACAGCGCAACACGCCGCTTATTTGTTTCGAGTAGAGCTCAAAGTAAAAGGTTCCTGCCGCGTTCGCACCTGCTTCTCAAAAATAAAACACCCGTCCTCGTTTTTGATTAGACCTTAGGCCTTACCTCCAAGCACTGTCGCGACAGTCTGACTGCTGTAGCACGCGTAAAACGAGATTCAGGCGTCATACGTCGCAGTCTAAACCACTCTTTCGCAACGTCCGAACACATTTGCGTTGTTGATATTCACCTTGACAGAGGTCTTTCGACCAGACTCATAATCATGACATTGACGATCTCTTTCCCACATCTTAGTCTACATGCCAAGTATAATCGACAAAAATGTTTTGACCATTGCATAACTCGCAACTGCATGACCTGAATGGTAGGTAGCTCCATTGTCAGAGCAAATGATGTTGACAGTAGGGCCACTATAGTGATTAACATGACTTTTGTGCCAAAGTGAAAGCTAGTTAAAGACACCGCCGAGTGACTGTAGATCCGCCCTCCGCTGGAGATACATCGACTGGAGCAAGAATCTTGTTTAGAGCACCTTACCCTACCCCTTGTTTTTCCCGGGCATGTCGACAAGCAAATCTTCTTTTAAGCTCTTCTAAACCTCCATTTGCACTCCCTAGCATACTCAGGGTATGGTAGCAAATAGGCGTTTTCGAATACAAACTCTAAAAACACATCTTGATGCAACAATCAGTAGCATGCGCCAACTTAACACTTCGCTTATCAATCCTTAAAACAAAGCCATTTTAGATGCTGAGTTAGACATCTTCAGATTAGCTTTATTTGAATGGTCTTGATCGGATGAAAGGCGTAAAGATGGTAGAAATTTGAATCAGCATGCACATCATCTAGCAGCAGTATGTCTTGAATACTGTTGTGACCGAGATAGCAGTGAGGATCAGCGCAATGCCGCAATCTTTGCTGGCAAGGATTCACGACATTATATGATACTAGCTTTCCCCACACGCATGCCCTGTTCCAAGCGTTGTGAAAATCTAGGTTCTCAGAGGGAAAAGAAAGCAAGTCGTACATTTTGTTTCGAGGAAAAAAGATCTAATCAGTCCAGGAGCCACTGGCTATGGAAAATTCCAGATTTGCACACTTTGTCGAGGGGATTCTTCAATATGTGATTACAAGTACATATAGGCTGCTGCATGACGAAGGCGCTACATCTTTAGGCGGTTTTATTAGCCGCAGAGCGCATGAGACGCAGGATTTACAACAGTGAAAATACGCGCGCCTGGTTCGCGCCCGTTCAATCACTACCGCTTCTGCGCCTTCGTCCTGCGGTAGCCTTTACCCATTTTGCTTCTTTCCTATTTGCCGATTGCCGAGTTACAATGGCTGTAAAGGCAGTCAAAGTAGATGTTTGCGCTGGGCCAACGGGAGGGGGGGGGGGGGGGGTATCTGACGCGCTGACCACAGATACCCCGTCCGCATGATAATGCTATTGCTGCTGCTTCTAATGCTGTTCAGTATACCGACCCCAAAAAACGAAAATCTCAGATTTGCAGTATACCGGCCCCTCGGAAATCTCAAATTCTGCTTGAACCTCGTGTAGGGGAGGTTATTTGATGCACTGCTCACGAAAAATATTCATCCTAACGGTAGCACTTTATTGCGGAGTTAGGATGGGGATACGCATGGGATCAAAATTCCAGATTTTAGTCTCTTGGTGGATTTACGGTAGATGCGGTGAGGGGTTTTCAGACTTGGTTGGAATTCGGTCCATGGGGTTATTGAGCGTGCTGGTACGAATATCACGTTCGTTCGCCGCAGCATGCATTAATGAGTTATGGTATGTTAGAAGGTTACGCATAGACCCCCTTGTCGGTTTTTAGATCAATTTGGATCTCAAAAATCCACAACAACGGGCTTATTATGCGAAATGAGTGAATATGCGTGATCATAACGTCAGATGACTTCCATCACAAAGTTCCACACAAAAGTACGTGACGGGCCGCGTATTTACCGTAGCTTTGCAAAGGAGTCTTCAAAAGCGAAAAGGTAAGGTTTGTGTCCAACGAGTCGACTAACCGCTCTAGACCGTTACTCAAATACGTTAACCCCATGACTTCCCAACTTTACTCCACCATACAACGCTAAAATGACGAACGAACTTCTTATTCGCGTTATCCATGTCGAATAAACTCTCTAGGCAAAATTATAGTGAATTTGCTTTGTTCCCATACCAGAAACCTAGCGTAGCACCACCATAAGACGATATCGTAAAGAATGCACATGATATTCGTAATCGTATGTCGAATAAACCCCTGTGCAAAGTTTCAGCGCGATTTGAGACCCACACCCCACACCGCATGTCTACCTTGAAACCTCGAAAAAGATCCTAACATGCGAAGTGATTATTAGTATCTTGTGAATAGCATCCCAAATAAGCCAGAGGAAAACTTTCAGCAAAATAATTTGGTTGAACTAAGTGAATTGTTTCCCCTCTGTTTTACAACCTACAGCATTCTGGAGCGTACCAAAAGTGATTAGTAGTGCCGTCGCTCATCATACTGAAGGAGTGCGAATGGAAGGTTCGGTCAAAAATCTGAAGCGATTAGTAGTGCCATCTGAATCTCCTGTTGAACAAGCTCGGAAGAAGACTTGGGTAGGTATCATGCTCCGAACAAGATTCTTGCTCCAGTCGATGTATCCCCAGCGGAGGGCAGATCTACAGTCGCTCGATACCGCCCCTAATTGAAAAATGACTGCACTGCGGTAACCCGTATTTTCCCCTGAGAGATTCCACTTTTTTTGTAAGTTTCTGTTGTTCTGCTAGGAAGTACAGAGAAAGTCTTGTTAGTTGCTTAACAGGCTTTAAAAGTTGATCTGCAGGAGACCACTTTTGAAATCACTGCAGTGCTAGATCTAAGCTTGCCTCGTTTCTAAGAGTTTCACTTCGCTCGCCGGTTTGGTCCACAAACTCAGTCTTGAGAGCGCCTCGCACTCCGTCCTTCTCAACTTCGTACACAGCTCCAAAGCCTCCGGAACCAATTTTTCTTGTTACCTACAACCCAAGGCTTGATAATTCACATACATTAGATGGAGAAACGCACCTTCCAGTCGCAAATTATGGCATCCCGCGTTATTTCAGGTTTCGGCACCGACGATGAAGTGGACATCGCACTGCTTACTGTTAAGTGAGCGATGCTTGAAACAGGAACCTTTCACCTGTGAGCGATCAAATAGAAATGAACTCTTCTTTTACTGAGGATTTGTCTGTTAATATCGTCACAACATGACTAATCTTACTTGTAAATAATAGTGGTGTGGATCATTTCGGACATTCTCTAGAGTTCGATTTCGATAAGGCAAGGAGGGCGGGGCGATAAGCCATTCACTGAAAAACGTATCCTCTAGACTTTTTTAACTCCTGCTCAGACATTCGCAGTTATCCCGCCGGAGATCCGCCCACAAAATGAGAATTCGCGAGAAAACCGGGAGTCTTGCGCGACTCCCGGTTTTGTCCCGACTTTCGGGACAATCCCGACAGTTAAAAGTGGCGGGAGATTACCGGAAGTCGCGATCATCGATTTTGACGCTATTGCGCGTCAGTATCGATTCATCCCTATTTCCACACAGGCTGTTTGTTACTCCACCATTAGGTTTTAATGTTAGCTTTTCTCGATCTAGTATATGTATCCCTCTCCCTGAGTGTAGACTGCAAATGCCCTTTGGTCATACATTACAATTTTCATGCAAGTTTTTCACCTCGTACGTCGTAATGCTAGTCATACATACCGTCACAAAACCATACTTCTATATACAAACTTTGTCTTTGTCATTCGTATCATTCGCAATTTACACTGGATTCCCATTTTCTGATCACTTCCTGCTCTGTTCGGATATCAGAAAACAAAATAACAGTTCTCGATACATAGGCCAGTGGGGTACGTAAAACTCATTGTTCAGTGCAATTGCACATGCATACACATGCAATCTTACGCCAAAGAAAAGTAGGTTATTTGTTATCATCCTAACTTTGACTTGCATCCTTTCATCTTCACTTCATATTCTGTGCTATTACCTTTTGACCCTACGTTATCTCACGCCAAAATAATGGTTGGTTATCACTCATCTACCTGACTGTTACTTGCATCCTTGTCTCTCTACTTTATAGTCTATGCTATCGCTGTCAACCTTAGTACAAGCGAATCGTATTCATACCTATCGCGGCTTAAATTATTCCTTATTGAACTTTCAATGCTGTGTTTTGGTTGGAACATCGAAAAGTTGGTTTCCAATGCATAGGTCGTAGGGTTGCGCAATCCTCATATTGTGCAACGCGTATGCATACACACGGGACCTTACGCCATATAGGATGGTTGGCTATTACTCATCCACCTACAGTTTCTTTCATCCCATTCTCTCCACTTAGTCTATGCTATCGCTGTCTGCCTTAGTACCTCTAAATCTATTCATATCAATTGCGGCTATACTAATTCCTTTTTAATCATTCAATATTCTGTTTCGGGTTAATCATAGAAATAGTTAGTTCGCAGTACATAGACCTTGGATCAATTTTTTGTGCAATCACATATGTATATGCATGCAACCTTACGTCAAAAAAGAACGGTTGGCTATATTACTTTTCCTTACTGTTACTTGCATCATTTTCTCTCTATACTTTACACTTGTGCTATCGCTGTCTACCTTGCATACATTCGCGGGAACTCAAGTGCTTATTTCATTAAATATACCTTTGAAGTTTACATAAGCATGCAGGCTTAATTTCAAAACAAAAGTGTTTAGCGCGCGATATTTCGCAACCCTTGGCTGGAATCATACAGTCTGCCCCAATCGGGATCAGGCCGAACCGTCGGCTGAATTTGCGCGCTCGCAGCGCTGAGGGATTGCGCTGCATACGCGCGCTGTCGCAGAGAGTGAAAAGATCGAGGAGAGAGCAGACTAGCTAGCCGCAGATGTGGCGCGAAACCCTCGGACTCCCGCCATGCCGATTTTGGCCTGGTTAGGATTGGGGCAGATTGTAAAAGAGCAAAGCAATATCATAGCTGGACTAAGTCTGACTGTAAGTAAGGTAGATCCAGAACGGAGGGTGAAATGCAGTTCTTTAGATAGACGCAATTCTCTTCAATCAGCAAAAACATGGCAAGCAATCACGGAAAGCGTCATATCACATAGCGAAAGGCAAAGAAGTTACTTTACCGGCAGGACATGTATTTGAGCGAAAGAATTTCACGAAGTCGTGGAAATTCAACCGATTTCCTCCATTCAAGGTTACCTATTGTTGTTGTAATCGATACAGCAGCACTTAATTTTGTTTCAGAATGCTAACATGATCGAGTTATTCGAGAACTGGACGCAGCCATCAAGGGCACACAAGAATGACCATTTTTTTGTTAATGATGGATTTTTATAGGTTCTATTTTTTGCATGTAAGTGAGACTAAAATTTCGAGTCTATCCTGAAGAGGGGCGCACTTAGGCATGCGAGCCAAAACAAGAAATCCAAAAGTTTGCGTGCAGACAATCCGGTAAAAGGGGAAGATTTCCGCATCTGCAGGACCTGCCCGAAAGTCTGGTCACATTTTTGATAGGTGAGTAATTGATGGTCTTTCTAAAAATTCTAAAAGAGATCTTCCAGATTTCGTTCTTGATGGTGTTGGCCTATACGCAGAAGAGCTGCTGATGAGTGCTACCGAATCGCGCGGCAATGAAACAGGTATAGATAAAAGTGTTTCTACTCCTTGATATCTCATTGACTTAGATTTTGGGTGGGCCTAGGGAACGACGATGAGGCTAGGACGAAGACGTTTGACAAGTTGTCGGAGGCGAGGATGAAGCTTAATGGATTAGCACGAGTGGCTATAGGAAGAGCTTTGTGGGTTTCTTTCAAAGATAGTCTTCATGAATCTGTTGAATTTGAAGTTCAGAGGTGATGTGCGCGCCTACCATTTTGATGCTGATAAGGAGATGCTGTCGCCACCCTCGGTAATATTCATATATGATTTTTCAAATTAGTGTTAGATTGTTATTTTTTCCAGAAAAAGCGTTTTTGCCCTACTACCACGCAAGATTCTTTGGCGCATGAGCAGGCTAATGAGTCGGAGCATGAGCAAGACGAAGAGATCGAAAATATGAAGTCGATTTGAATTATGGATTCAAACTCACACATTGATCTCGACATTCCTGCTTTTTTCTGTTCACTTAGTTATAGTATTTCAATGTTCTTTTTCCGTCACGAATGCTAATGAAGAGTGTCTCTGAACTCTGTGTCGAGCACAGCACCTTTGTAAGATGTGTGTAGTACAAAGTTTTGAAGGAGAACCAATTTTAGAAAAAGCCCAGCCGAAAGCTGATCGGATAGCTGCTATATCGCGTCTCCCGCAGGAGACTGCAGTCTAGAGCGGGAGTCCCGCCGGTGACCGAATCGCGAAAAAACCGGGACTCCCGCAGGAGCTCCCGGTTTTCTCAGTAGAAAACATGTCGGGACAAGACCGCGTGTCGCGCCGCATTATCTCGAACGAAAACCGGGAGTCCCGGTTTTCTCGCGAACCATTTTACTTGTGTCCCGCAGTCATTCCGGCGGGACACAACTTTTTCACCGGCGGGACTTAACTGCGAATGTCTGAGATATCGCGTCTCCCGCAGGAGACTGCAGTCTAAAGCGGGAGTCCCGCCGGTGACCGAATCGCGAGAAAACCGGGACTCCCGCAGGAGCTCCCGGTTTTCTCAGTAGAAAACATGTCGGGACAAAATCGCGTGTCGCGCCGCATTATCCCGGACGAAAACCGGGAGTTCCGGTTTTCTCGCGAACCATTTTACTTGTGTCCCGCAGTCATTCCGGTGGGACACAACTTTTTCACCGACGGGACTTGCGAATGTCTGAGTGAGCAGGCACTTCCGCATTCGCCGGGTTTGCGTACGCATCCAGAGGGCACGTATGCAAACCGAAGACCTGAGCGAGGCGGTCGCAAAGCCCGAGCCGCTACAGCTGTGACACTCACTCTGAGTCAGCCTAATACACTCTTATCTATGAACGAATATTTTCTCAACTTTCAGAAAAACTGTGATTGTTTGGCTTGGAAGAGACTGCAAGACATCAGTGATGGCCTGCGGTTTATCAAAAGGTAATATAGGGAATACAAATGCAAATACAAATGATACACAACGATACACAAGCTATAATGAATAGTAACTGGCGAGTAAAGCTATGAAAAGGGACATCACTGCAATCACACCAAGGCGTATAAGGCTATATACATTGAAAGATGGGCGCATATAGAAAGTAGTTCCTAGAGTGGTAGCGATGAGCGTTAGTTTGTTTGTTACGGATATTCGTTTTCGATCCATTACTGTTCGTCTGGTCTGATCTAAAGAAAGTTGTTTGTCAAAACATTTACAATGATTTGTAGGAGATTATGCTGAACAACTCTATATTTGTCTCAACCACTGGCTCTTTAGTGGTTACGCGGCATTGCACTAACTTTGAAAGTGAGAAAGGCTGTGTATAAGCAGGGTAAGGCAAAAGGTTGATTGAAACAACGAAATGGCGCATTAGATGGGCGGTGGCTCCAAAATCGAGGGTTTGGAAACGTCTTCTCGGCACGAAGCGCAGTTGGCAGGGAGGATTCACTTGATTGCCTGCTCCAAGACGATAAGGCGTTAGTAATCTTCTTGGCTGGAAATATCTGACTTGTCGCGCGTTTGGCACAAAGCGTACTATGGGATTACTACTGATTATGGGCGGTGGGCGGTCTCGTCTCAGGTTTCTAGGCGGGTTTCGATTGGCTTGCTGAAGGCTGTTGAATTGGTCAACCAATAGAAAATGAATGCTTTCTAAGATCTCCTTTTCTTCGCGACATTCCTGCTCTGAAATTCTTTGCTTCTTCTGCATTGGCGAGCGCTGTTTCAAAATCAGGGAGAACGAGAAGTCTTCGCACGACCTTGCGAATATCGAATATCGTAACTCTTTTATAAAGAAATCTATGACTAGCTTGAACACACGGTGTGTGCAAATTATCTACTAGTTCTCGATATTCCTCTAAAAATTCTTCAAATGTTTTGTCCGTTCGCCGGTAAATCTTTCTAGGCGCGTACCTAAAAGTTTGCTCTAAGCGTATGAATCTGGCGAATTGAAAACGAATGCTTCCTCCTCAGCCGCATTGTCTCTCCCGTTGTTATCTCTCCCATTGCCGTTTCGCGGATTGTCAGTATCGGACATTTTTGGCTGTCTTGGGTATGAAGATCGTGGCCTTCTTTTTGCTGTGTCTGAGGCGTCTTGTAGTTCTTTGAGTACATTAGAGAACGGGCTTTCTTTCTTATCCTCTTTTCTTAGTAAGTCCTTTTTCTCTTTTTCTGGGGGAGTGGCAAAAGGTGTTTTGTTTTGCTCTAACTGGCTAGTTGAGGGTTGATCGCTAAACGCTTCTTTGCTAGTAGAAGGGAGTTTGCTTTCTTCTATTTGGCTAGTAGAAGTAATAATAAATCCTTCGCGACGATGGATGGTAGATCGCTGTGCTCTACTTAGCTAGTGAAAGGTTTTTTACTAGGGTTTAGTTTATGTTTGGAAATCTTTGGAGTTTCCTCGACTCCCTCTGCCTGTGTTTGTTTCCTAGGCTTAGCAAGTCTTGCAAAAAAAAATGCTTCCCTGTTAGCGTTAAATCTTCGACGCCTTTCTGATCTACTAGTTAATGCGTAATGGACCATGGGTTTTGGCTTTTTGGTAGAAGTTTTGTTGGTTAACCGGATATGTCCCTTATGTTTTTAGAGTAGCACGTTTGTATGTTTCTTAGAGATTAGTTAGTTGTTCGCGGCACGTAACGGAACTTTATTATTTATTTTAGGAATGGACTCGCGGCGGCCAAGAGTGAGGGTGTCGGAGGCAAATACGGAAATTGGGCTCAACCGTAAGTTTTTTCCGTTTTTTTCTCGCGGTTACTCTTTTTTTGTACCCCCCCCCCTTTTTTTTAAACTCTGTCAGTTACACTAGAGTTTATTTTTGCTCATATGGTTGATTTCTTCGAAAAAATACGAGTTTCATGGATTAAGCTTTGATTCTAGATACCGGCAGCTCGAGGAGTGGCCACAGACAGCAAGGCGATAATATTTTTTTCTTTGATTCTCGATTTTTTCATGTGTTGTATGTTTTTTCCCAATGTTTTTTTGCTGATAACACGCTATTTCCTTTGCTATTCTGCGTATAAATTTTTATGGGGGATAAAAGGTGTTTGAAGAGGAACCCGATGTGTACTATATATTCTTTTCCCCTGCAGTATCGAAAACGCTGATATGAGAGTTTTTTTGGGAGAGGAGTTGGAGTAGATATGAGAGCGATAGAAGTGAGTTTGGTTATATGAAAAAGCTAAAGAATAATGTTTTATACTCACTGCTTGAGACCTCTGATATGACTGGGCTGAACTGAGTTCCCTCGGAAATGAAGTGTCAGATGGCGACTGGTAGCAACCTCACCTGACAACTGTACGCTTGACGAATGAGGTTCTAGGATATCGCGGAAAGTTTATATCAGAATTTTCCGCTTATTTTCGCGGCGATCTCTAGCCCCCCCCCTCCCCAATCGTTTTTCGCAAATGTTTGTATCTTGAGCGCGTATCGCTAAATCTGGATTGTTTATCACATTCGTGATAGCAGATGGTTTACAATTGTCACGAGTTGCGGGAAAAAATGCCCAACGATCATGTTTCGAGAAGATAGTTTAAGTGAAGTTTGTGACCGTAGCATTTCGTATACTTTGGAGACATTCGGTGTAATATGATATAGCTACATGAGCATGCTTCAAAGTATGTGCATTGCGAGCTTTTTTTCCTCGGTATCACTAACACACTTTTGCAGCGATGTTTATGGGACAAAACGAGGAGCAAATTAGCACCACACAATGGAATGAGATAGATTAGCAATACCAAAAAGAAATTTAGAACCTTTCAAGGTGGCAATTATTTCTTCTCCTTCAATATATGCCAGCTAGATGTGTTAGACATGCCGCTTGCTGGTCGGCTGCTGGTGCCAGCGGTCGTCTCTATTTCCGGCCCTAGGAAGGGATCGCGAGCTTTGGTATATTTAACCATATCTGCCCCATTGCGAGTCGGCAGGCTTGCTCGCCGATTCCTAGTTCCACGAGAGGAGCCCGTGGATACCGCAACGTATCGTTGCTCCATATTTGTAAGTGCTCGACGATCGTTCGTTCCAAGGGGCAACGTGTACATTTGCAGGACGTATTGGCCGCAGTTCGCCGTTCCATGCTGCGAAAGTCGTTGATAGGGTTTCCGTTGGCCCCATCAATGGCTCTAAGAGCTATCTCAGCAGCCAAGAATGTATAGGGTTATCAGGTAATTTGACAGGTGCCAGATAACGCCGTCCTCCAATATCTTTATTACCGAACTGCGGATAATATTTGACGTCTTCCGCCGCCCTTTCATCCAAATGGGCATCTTGGCCAGATGCTGATAGTGGTCACTGGCATGTTGATATTAGCGGTCGGCGTTCGTCAGGACGCAGTGGTGAACCACAGCGATGGCCGAATTGAACGTCGTGCTTTCAGCTGATTTGTGTAATATTCATGCATGTTAGTTAAGGCAAATGGAACTTGAGAAGTCTATGATTCTGATTTGAAACCCTTTAGTGTTATGCTGCAAAGATGGTCGGAAGAAAGGGTAGAAAGAAAACGTTTATCTGTAAGTGAACATGCAGAATGAATGGGAAGGATGTACGTGAGAGACCACGCCTTATCGGATGAGATTTAGGGCCACAGTCGGTGATTTACTCGATATGAATGTGATGATTCGGATCTACGATTTGTGAGTATTCAAACATTGTATGAAAGAGCCATGGAATAAGGTTAGGAAGTAGTTGGTAATGATGCGTTACTAAATTTTGGAGGTTGAGGGAAATTAACTTACTATTGTATACTTATTACTGAATGAATTTGGAAGCGGCCACTTAATGGTTTCAAATATTACTTTATTTGCGAGGATGACGCTTAGACGACCTGGCCAGGCTTTTCCTACGCTATGAAAATAGTGGGAGAAGTTTGCTTCAGTCACATAAGTTAAAATGTCTTCATATAGCCTAGAGTTAGCGTAGATGTGACTAAATGCGCTTGGAATTGGGTATTAGAATTACATGATTTTGGATAAAATAGCAAAAGGGTTGTTCTTCTGCCAAGTTTGTAATGGTAAAACCCGGACCGAAAACTCCATGTAGCGAATTCATGTTCAGTGGTTGTTCGTTAGACTATGAATGGTACCTTAGCTGGATTCCCAATAACGCCTACTTCCGATGGCACCCTTCCAACTGGCATATATGGTAGTCAACTATATTTCTTACTAAGCATTTATCAAGCAGTTATAAACAAGACATAGGACATGAAGATATGGCGCAGACAGCGAATGTGGGCGGAATAAAAGCACAGGAATAGGTAGGTAGGAAATGAGGTAGGGGATAGATAAGTTGTAATATGAAGATAGCCAAGCAGGAGGGAGCTCTTGCAAATCTTATACCGATACAATCTTCGGATAAGGAGAACACATGTAGAAGAAAAGCAGATAATAGAGAAAACAAAAAACATAAAATAAGGAAGTATTTAAACGAGTGGACGATATCTGCCGCTGTTATGGCGGGCTGAGCCGGCCGGAGCCGGCTCGCTTGGTGGCTGTCTCTCTCTCTCTCTCTCTCTCTCTCTCTCTCTCTCTCTGCTTCTCGGGGGCGGGGCTCATATGCTTATATGGTTAGCGAGCGGGCGGGCAAGAGTGCAGGAACCAATAGCACATTACCGTCGTTAGCGCTTACTGGCGAGGAATACGTACGTGGGGTACAAAACCTCAAGAGAAATTGAAGATAACAAGGATTTAGGTAGCATAAACAAAAAAAGAATCAAAGCAGTGGGGCGGATCGAGGAGAATCGTATGTTGAAGCAATGACGCTGCTTCAGTCTGAACCTCTAATGGGTGGAGCTTACCTCTTTTATGGTACTTTGGAGGCGGACGAGAGGAGGGTGCGGCCAATATCTCATTGCCTTATAAACAACTAGCTGGCTTACCCGGCTCCACCGTATCCGGACCAAACTTGGCACACATACACTTCGGGCCCCGGCGGGTGTCACAGTCCACTTTTCGTTATCGATCGATGTCGATTTTACCGATTTTTATCGATTTTTTTGCTGAGTTCACCTACGGGGCTGGGAGTTGGCACAGGGGGGTAATCGAGCATGCAGATTACGAATACAACATTAGTTTTCAAGATCATCCATTACTTTTATCGATTTTTTGAAAATTCGAGCTAGGGGGCTAGAATTTGGCACAGGGGTGTAATAGCATGCTGATCACCCCCCTTGGGGATGATCAGCATGCTCGATTACCCCCCCCCCTGTGCCAATTTCCCGCCCCCCTAGCTCAAAATTTGCAAAAAAATCGATAAAATCGATAAAAGTAATTGATAATCCTGAAAACCAATATTGTATTCGGAATCCCCATGCTCGATTACCCCCCTGTGCCAACTCCCAGCCCCGTAGGTGAACTCAGCAAAAAAATCGATAAAAATCGATAAAATCGATATCGATCGATGACGAAAAGTACCCTATTCTCAGGTGTATAAGCCGCGGGGTGGTCCTAGCTTACATCGATCAGCCCGAACACATCAAAGGACTTCGAAACGAAAGGACCCTATACCGTGCTCGTATTACCTGAAATAATCGTGCGGCAGAAGGTCGCTTCTCGAAACACAATAAAGCGGCGGAGCAGCCCGGGCGAAAATTTGAAAAAGTGCGGCTTATACACCTGAAAATAGGGTAGCCTATGACACCCGCCGGGGCCCGTAGTGTATGTGTGCCAAGTTTGGTCCGGATCGGTTCAGAAATGGAATTTTCTATTCGGAACATACGTACAGACAGACATACAGACAGACATACATACATACATACATACATACAGACATTCAGCTTTATATATAAGATTCACGCTTTTTCCACAGAAATATCGCTGAAGGTTTTACCTCCCAGTAGCTAAATTATTTTGGTCATTCATTGCGCGACTTTGCTTACTTTTAGAACATCACCGTAGGCATACGGCTGATAGAAGGAAATCTTTGGTAATTCTAAAAAGTAGATTAGCAACGCGACAGGAATAAGGAAAATAAATCTTCGGAATTTGGAGAATAATGTCAATGGATCCAGGTGTTTTCTTCACTAACTTTGTGGCAAAACACTGATTGCTTAAGGTATGCAACGTTAGCACATTTTGACACAAGGATTCATATAATGTAATGTGTAACTGAGCTTTCCTGGTTGTCTAATGAGCGATCGCCATTCATTTTTTTTATGTGGGTATACATTCATATGCGAGGATGATACCTGGCCAGGCAACAAAGTTAATTCATCTCATTTTGACAAAATGTCGCATGATCTGGTTGAAATATAATAATTTCGTTCGGTTCCTCATAGCTAATGCTAGAAAATGTGATGATTTCAGAGGCGTTTCTTCATTGTTTGCCACCTAACAGAAGCACAAGGGTTTCTGATAGACAAGGCTTCTTCGCCGCAAGGATACGTGTTAAGTAAATCGACACCAGCCAGAATAATAATGTTAGACAGAAAATACAGATGTAGAGTCGTCCGTTTGTCACAGCAATACGATTGTCTGAGATAATGCACAATTGATTCAATCGAGGATTCCAAACAGCAGCGAAATTTTATCGAATTCTAATCAATAGATTCCAGAAAATCGATGACGATCACATGCAATTATGGAAGAAGAGAAAGTGAAAAATAAAGGGTACAGAGGTGTGTAAGTTCTACAAAATGTTCAGCAAATATCACATAACTCATGGTCCGCTTGAAAATTCAAGCCCTTTGAGAAATCAAAATTCGGATCTCATTGTCAGTTCTGAAAAAATAGACACAGAATATTCATATATGCGCTTGCTGTATCTTTTCCGTGGTTTAAGAAAAAAGAGAAAGAACAAAAGTGTCAATCGCCCTTAGAAAATCTAGAGCCTTCCGAAGTATAATAAATTCATTTGTTTACAACACTCCTGGAAATGCATTTGTAAAATTACAACCTTGAAGGTGCAAAAAGAAACTGAAAAGTTCAGCATTACTTTTCTAACAACCTATTAATTTCTATTCTAATAACTTAGAGACATTACTTACTATAATGGAGGGTTTTCACACAAACCGTAACTGCAAATTGAAAGAATTTCATTACTAACTTCAGAAAATTAGGTTTTAACAGAAAGTTCTCCCCTTGTTTAAAAATCCGTAACTGCTCCCTTTGTAAACGTATACTTTACAAAAAAATGCTTTCAGAAAGGAAAGTTCATCTACTTTCGAACTACATTTTCACGGCTCTTTAGGATGAGAGAGTCCAGTTACGAAAATTAGAAAAGAAGAATCACTCTAACTCTCAATTCTCGAAAATATCAGGTTGTCCCATAAGTTCCGTCCGTTTTAAATTTCAACCGCAATAAATTATGAACTTCTTGATCCTAGGTAGGTTCCAAGGTATCGTTCGATAGAGCAAATCAAGCTCTACAAGATGGCTATCTCGCTTTTGCATCAGCTCTGCCCATCTCGAGTTTCAAGGCGAAAACTAAAAAGATCCAACTGCCCGAAAAATCGAGAAAAAAATCATAACTCCGTTCAAAAAAATTCTGTAAAAATTCTAACTTGCTCGCGTAAACAGTATCCATACAACACATTTATAAATGCCATTGCCGTGTTTTTTCCTTGGCTAGAAATCAAGAAAATGAAGATTTTCACGCTTTTGCCAAAGTGGTGCTGTGATGTTCCTACATAGATAGTTGTATACTACTAGCCTGTAAAAGTGCAAACATAAATTTTCAGCTCTCTACAAGCTTTGGTTCTCGAGAAATATCGAATACAGCTTGCCTTAGTTGGATGCCTTACGCTAAAATCCATATTTCTCGAAAGCTAGTGCCTGTAGAGAGCTGAAAATTTACATTTGTACTTCTACAGGCTAGTAGTATACAACTATCTATGTGGGGACATCAAAGCACCACTTTGGCGAAAGTGTGAAAATCTTCATTTTCTTGATTCCCAGCCAAGGAAAAAACACGGCAATGGCGTATATAAATGTGTTATAAGGATACTGTTTACGCGAGCAAGTTAGAATTTTTATAGAATTTTTTTGAACGGAGTTATGATTTTTTCTCAATTTTTTGGGCAGTTAGATCTTTTTAGTTTTCGCCTTGAAACTCGAGATGGGCAGAGCTGATGCAAAAGCGAGATAGCCTTCTTGTAGAGCTTGATTTGCTCTATCGAACGGTACCTTGGAACCTATCTAGGAACATGAAGTTCATAATTTAT